ACCCAAGAAAAATATAACTGGATAGAGACTACTATTACAGCTCAACTACAACAAATTGGTAAGATGAAACCGGATCCGAAGAACTTCCTAACAACTAATACTTTGAAATTGCTTGAACAAAGAAACCAGCTAATTAACATAAAAGGAGTAAACGACAGAAGAATGCACATAGCGAAAATCAGTAAAGACATCAAAGAAAGTATAAGGAAAGATATGAAACGTAGGAGAATGGAAATTATTGAAAGGCATGTTATTAAAACAGGAGGTGCTAAAAAAGCTAGCAAAGAATTAACAAATTCGAAAGAATGGATCGCTAAAATTAAAAACAACAGAGGAGAATGCAACCACCACAGGAAAAACATTTTACAAATTGCCACATCTTACTACAGGAAAATGTACGAACACTACAGCGAACAAGATGAAGAGGAACTTCAGAAAATCTCACATATCCCGAACATCCTCCAGAGTGAAGTAAAACACGCAATAGATAGTCAAAAAAGAGACAAAGCACCAGGACCAGATGGTATAAACAGTATAATCCTAAAGGAAAGTAAAGAAGCTATAGCTCCAATCCTCACCGATATATTCAATGAGATATTAAATACCGAAATCATACCACAGCAATGGACTGAATCAAACATCATTCTTTTATACAAAAAAGGAGATAAGTATGAAATCGGGAACTATCGCCCCATTAGCCTAATGTCTAATATTTATAAGATATTTGCTAAGATATTACTTAATAGGATTGAGAAAGTATTAGACGAACACCAACCTATCGAACAGGCGGGTTTCCGGAAAGATTACTCAGTGTTAGATCACATTCATGTAGTACGCCAAGTCATGGAGAAGTACAGAGATTACCAATGTACCTACTACATAGCATTCATTGACTACAGCAAGGCATTCGATTCTTTATTTCATGCAAAGATATGGGAGGCTTTAAAAGAGCAAGGAATAGAGCACAAGTATATCCGTCTGATCAGGAATGTCTATAGCAAGAGTACAGCAAGAATACAACTAGAAAGGAAAGGAGAGCGTTTCAAAATTCATAAAGGCGTACGACAAGGGGACCCTCTGTCACCAAAATTATTCTCGGCTGTACTTGAAGCAATATTCAGAGGTCTCCAATGGAAGAATCTTGGTATCAACATAGATGGTCTTTCACTAACTCACCTGAGATTCGCAGATGATATTGTACTGTTTGCAAATACTCCGGAAGATATATCAAAAATGATAAACGATTTGGCAACAGAAAGCAAAAAGGTGGGGTTACATCTGAATCCAGATAAGACGAGGGTGATGACTAATGGAAAGAGGGTGGCTATAAATTTAGGACTCGACCAAATTAATTACACAGAGGAATATATCTATCTTGGACAAATAATATCGAGTGACAATCCGATGCTCAGGGAAGTAGAACGAAGAATAACCAATGGCTGGAAAAGGTACTGGAGTTTCAAAGAGATTATGAAGGATAAAAACCTGCATATTAAAACAAAAAGTAAACTTTTTAACACATGCATATTACCAGTTCTTATGTACGGCAGCCAAACATGGACTCTGTCACAAAACATTATTAATAAACTGGCAACATGTCAATATGCAATGGAAAGGAGCATGATGAATGTAAAAAGATCTGATCGATTAAGAAACTGCATAATAAGAAGTAAAACGAAGGTTACGGACATAACGAGTAAAATAAGGAGACTGAAGTGGAAATGGGCAGGACATATGATGAGAGGAAAAGACAAGTGGAGCAAAATTGTTACGAGATGGTACCCAAGAGAAGGAAAAAGAAAGAAAGGAAGGCCTCAGAAGAGATGGGATGACGATATTAGACAAGTGGCAGGCGTCACATGGAACAGAGTGGCTCAAGAAAGAAGAGAGTGGAAAAGGTTGGAGGAGGCCTTTGCCGACTGGCAAACAGATTTCCAAAAACTATACAAAAGCTATATAAGGGATTAAATTTTAAGTTAGTATTTACATTATTTTTAGATTAAGTTTTTAATGTATTTTCCTTTGTAACACTGATCTAAATCTGAATAAAGGCTATATTATTATTATTATTATTTAAAAAGAGATGTGTTTCTTTTATACCTGAATGGAAAAGGTGATAGAGATCTTATAAAACGAATACCAGTCCGGAACTTGAATCTTACATTGAATATGAAAGGACAAATAGATGAAAACTATGATTAAAATAATGAAGATGACTGCAATAGCCTTTTGTAACATTGTACAACTACAATAACGTTCAAAATGACAAAATATTGCTTAAGTACCAAATTCAAATATTAATCTACCACTTCAAACATCGTCAAATATTTGTTACCAACATTTCAATGACATTTCATCCAAAATGTTTCATGTTTTCATCCAAATCAACCTAGAAATTTGGTGTTGGATGTTGTGTACACTAGCCAAACCACAAACGCCACCATAACCTCTGTTAATGACATTTAATATTAATAACTCTTCGCATATATGACATGGGCATTAAAATTAATTAAAGTTTTCATCGGTACACCTGTGACGGAGGCGTCAGTATGACGTTTTAATTAATTGCTGGCGTCACTCGTCCGTAATGACCATGGGGGTGACATGTGACGCGATGCTGATTTGTTACTGTGATGGGGAGTAGGGTGTTGTGGTAAAGTTGGTGTGTGATGTGCAGTGGCAAAAATAAATAAGGAAAACTGAGCAAGCTTTCATTTTGGTGTGTCAATATCATCATTGTTACTCAAAAAGGTTGCATGACGTCAAAAACAAAATCCCCATCTCTATTTATCTTGTGCTGCTTGTTCTTATTTGGAGTCGGTTCAAAAGACTTATTTAGTTGACAATGACACATTTTAGTAACGTATTTTGCTTTTTAAATGCTATAATTTCAATATTTCAATAGATTACGTTTCAATACTGTTACAATTTTCTTGATAAGAAAGCAACTCACACCATAATGGTCTGAGTAACCTAGCCATGATATCATTTCCAAATACTTCTCAAACCATGGTACTATATACCCATTAAATGTAATGTAATATCTTCACCACAATGTGGTATGTGCTCTGAATCGAGATTCACTACTCAGCAATTTAATTGACTAATCCAATAGGAAACTCTAAACTAAGCAGCCACGTGGAGTTTCCGACGATCCAATTGATTAAACCTATACGCATGATTGCTATCTCTCAAATTGGATTCCAGAAATAGGAGTACACCTTTGTTGATCATTTACTTAGATTAAAAATACAATAGATATGTACACATATATATAATAGCTTCGATTAGGTCTATCTCTATTGAATCCATTTCAGTTACTGCTAAGTATAGGCCTTTTTTACCATACTTTTAGTTTTTCTGCATGTCTTATGCATTTACTTCCCGTGATTCTCTACGTATTATTGAACGATAATTAAAATATATTTATTTCCTTTTATTTATTTGTTTAAAAGAAACGTAATAATATGATCACATAGGGACACATCGATAGATAAACTTACATGACAACAATTAATAAAATAGACCCATAGCTGATGTTTCTACCATTTTCATAGTTCATGTTATAATAAAAAATACTAATATAGGTACATGATAACCATTTTATTACACGCTATACATACACAAGTGTGTATAGGTATGTACAACGAAATGACCCAGACAGTGCTTTATCATTTCTCCTTCGTCTCGTCATGTGTTGGCACTAAAATTAAATGGTTCCTCGCAAACGGACGACTGCAAAAATCCAGTTGCCATAAAACTTTTCATGTCTCCTCAATGTTAATTACATTTATGTTTAGGATTCCCAAAATCTGAGAAATTAGAACTGTGATTTTTTACCTATACTTACTTATACGATAAGTATGCTGCAGTAATTGTTAAACATTTCTCTTTCTTCTTACAGCCTATCAAGCTTAAGGAATCCATCATGCGATATTAATTGTACTTTTGACACTCATTTCTTTATATCCATTTATAGTAAATATTAACATTTCAGTAATATTTACACCAGGTAGAAAAATTAATTTACATAGGCTACACACAATACATAGATTCGCCACTTGTACCGTCCATACCGGAATACGCTGGTCATAGTGACGTGTCGTCATTTGCTTTAACAAATTGAGTGTCACTTCACATCAGCCCGACACCGACAGGGTTATTACGACCGTTTTTAACAACAACTCGCCGAGACGGGTTAAATTGCGGAACTGAATCGAGTTGTATTCATGAATTCTTTAGTAGATGTACTGTACCAACCCCTGGACAAACGAGAATGAATTTTATTTTCCGAGGATTGCACAGGATTTTTGTCAGTTGTTAGTTTGATTTAGGAAGTACACCTATTGCCATAATAAATGGTACTGGCATACAAAACCTTCAATTTCCATAGAAATCCAGTGCAAGAATAATATTGGTTGCTAACTATGTTTTGTGGTCCAGGAAAAAACAGTACGAAAATGTGTCCATTGATTATTTTAATCAAAAGCCAATTGCGAAACCAATTCACATAATCAACGTTAATTGTATTAATTACGGTCCCCGAACAGCTTGCAAAATCTTTCTTTTCTTAACAAAATCCTGCTGAGTAAGTAATTCGAAAGAATGCCTGACGCACTCGCTGCGTTGTACCACGGCGTGCACAGCTTTTTAATTAATACCTACGCGTCGGGTACCATGCTCGGGAATAAATCTTAGTTAATGTCCCTTTAGTCTGGTCAGCTCGGCCCCATGTGTTGGTAAGCTGAGACTAGATGAGCCGAAATCGATTTCGCGTCGACTAGATGGCTAATAGCACATTTATTTCGTTGAGTTAATGCTCTGAATTGTGGAGTATCGGTTGAATTGTAGCTAACCTCAATTTATTTACGGAGAGTCTCATATACGTTACTTTCTGATTGGTCTCAATGATATTTTTTCGATTAGTAGGCTTCTTAAAATATTGTTTGTTATGTTTTTTAAAAATATTTTTATTTATCGTAAGTTTTTCTTGGTTACAGAAATGCGACGTTCCTCGAGCCACATCTCCAGGGCGTAAGAAGACGCGACAGTAGAAGTTCAGACTCAGATCACGATGAACGCTCCACAGAAGACGACGAGAGGTCCTTGCTTCGAAGTTCACCACGAACAAGGCTGCCCCCTCCTCCACCGCCGCCACCTGACGACGACCCACCACCATTAAAGCCTCGAGAATTCTTTGAAAGACTTCAGACTCAAGCGATGAGGGAAGCTCAAGAAAGAAAACATAGATCAAGAGACCTACCAATCAAAGACTCCAACCAACTCTTCAGACCGGTCGACGCTGACGGTAGTCTAGGAGACAGCCTCAGTCAGGTAACAAACTCCTTTATTTCTCTTTTCTCCAGACTTCGGAAACTTTAAATCACGAACAGAGCAAGTTCATTCGGATGTAGCCTAATGAACCGTACCGCAGTCCTATTTAGTTTTTAGTTTCGTAGACTTTTTCTCAAATTGTAGCTACGAGTTTTATACAGTTACTCTTTATTTGCATATCCGATAGCATTATGTAAAGTGGGAACGAGAAGTATTTCTGCAGTGAAATATTGTGTGGAAACGAAATTATATTTAGCCATTTATATGTGTAGTATTTGAGATGTATGTTGTTGGATTCGAATGTGTCTCCTCTCTCCATTTTGCTGCCATTACCATGTGAATGCGGCGAGAGTGATGTTACACGAAAGCAATATTTTTCAATAGTCGATACAGAATTAAATTTGCGGTTGTGCAGAAGGGAATTTAGAGGGAGGGGTAGCTTTTCGTTTGATGTTCCTTTATTCATCTTATTATTTACGGTATATAAAACACGGACAGCCTTAAGCGCAGTTCTTAAAATGCTACCTTGTTTGTTACGGTGTTTGGGCAAAAATATTTATGTTTTTTTCAAACATAGCAACGGAAATCTCCCTCGAATTACATGGGGAAAATTGTACTCAAATGAAAATATGAAAGGCGGTTAAAATGGCAATAAATAAACGCTACGCATTTCATGGCTTTAAATAAAGCTTGATTAGTATGCAACGTCAGTGCTCCGAAGCGTAATTAAAGAAACATTAAAGGCGCGTACGGTGCATTATTCTTAGCACTTGCTGCATGTTTTCTCTCTAAAATGACAATTAGCCGTTGTGGCAGCACCACAATGTTTACAAACCCTGCCGCTGCACTCAGCCGCACTAGAGCTGTGACAGGGGCCCACTTGAGGTGTAAAACTTCTCAGTCAATTGCGGGCGTTGCTTTGTAGATGCTTGAAGCCCCACCAAACCCTTGCATTGTCGCCGGCTCTCGTTTAAAATATAGGGAGTAATAGCAAAGTTATAGTGCACTTAGCTTTGCATTTATATCGAAAATGTGAACGTTTAAAAAAGCTAGGGTGATAGTTTGTTGACAATAAACTGGTTGGAATTTTGAAAATAATTTGACTGAAAGATTATTTTAAACGCCTGTTAGATAAATTTACAGACGCAAACACCAGCCGAAAAGTAAAGGGATCGCCTGAAAGCATAATATTCATTACACTACACTTACTGGTCCATCGGACTGCCGATTAACCCTCAAATTAGAGCGGGGGCCCGAAGTTAACTGCCTTTGCGGCACATAAATGACATGTGCGACTTAGAAATTTGGCCGGGAATTCGTACCATACCATTTATGGTCTGTAATGGTGTTTTTAATTATTTCGCGGGTAATTATTGGACACGTTACGGTTTGCGAGGGTTAAATGTACTTTTGTTGTAACCTCAAAATTTACTTACTAAAAGTCGGTTTTAATGATATTTTATGAACTCACGGTATATTGAACAAGTTCACAAATCATTTGTGTTGTTGACTAAGTACTTCTGTATGGAGCCATATCTAGATTAATAATACGACTTTTACTTTAGGCTTTAAGGGAAGTTGTTTGGTGGTTTTTTACCACATGCCGCATATAAAAAAGTAGGTAAATGCCTAGTACATATACTTATCATATACAAGTACATGTACTAGGCATTTTAAGAATTGCTAGGTTTAAAAATTCTGAATAATGTATTACCCATTCAAAAACTAGAAAACCTGAAATGACGATAATACAAATAAACTAACAAGGCAATCAGTTTCAAAGGATTCATATTTTTCATCTGAATATAACTCATAGTTCTGAAAGGCTCGTTTGCCGTACAAATGAATAGATAACGTAATAGAACTCCGGTCGCCCCCATTTATCAAGCATTTCAACGACAGACGACAAAATGGTGAGACTTTCCTATGACAAAATTCAATTTTAAAATTATTACTCATCTGTTAATTTATTTCTATGAAAAATCTTGTTAATATTCATTTAACTGAATAACTTCAGACAATAAACAATGTGTTTAAGTAATTTTGTCCATCATTAGTGTTATGGGTAATAAAACTGTCTACAAAATTGTTTAAGCATCAGTATTTACTTTGATTGCTTCTAATAGACCATGTTATCCCTATTTATTTAATGGCGCGTAAACTCGCTCGACAATTAATATCATATAGACGGCAATCACTTTAAAAGCTTTCAAACTACTTCTTGGACTTATCAAAAGCGTTTGATATACTGGACATGTTTAAATAAACTAACAAAATTGACTCTGTTAAAATTTCGGAAGTTAGGCGTTTTATTCGCGATAATTGCTACCATTGTCAACACGGAACGATTATCGGGTCGCTCGGAACTTCGTCTGCGCCCTTCCTACGTCCGGAGCAGACTTTAATTGTTGGTTGAAAAAAAATGAAGCCATCCCTAGTTTAATTTGCATGCGGTGCAGTGGATGCCATCGATTTAGTACAACAATAGGGCGGATAGATGCGTCTCTTGTTTCCTCTTTATTGCATTGTTCGGAGCGACGCGAATTTTTCGGCGATTTATTTGTTCTCATTTTACCACGTGCGTTTTATTGAATCGGCATGAGTATACGTTTTATTACATTTGTTGTACTATCCTTTATATAAAAGCCGTCTAAAATCAACCGAAAACCTGATTCAAATATTTGCTCACCAAATTATAACTATGCGAACATTTTTTACCAAACCACAAATTCCTCAAGTCAAAAATCAACCAATTCACCGTCTAATTGAGCATCGCGAGCAATTTAAAAAAATATGCAATCAGGCCGCCAATAAAGGAAACGACGAGGCGTAAGTCAGGCGTCAAGTCAATGGCTTCAAACCCCATGAGCTCCGACTCCCCTGTCCAGTTTCCGGGACGCTTATTATGGTAATGACACCTTCGGGCTATGTGGACTTTTACTGCTCTATACATAATTTAACTTCTCATCTACCTATGTTGACGTAGCCTTAAATATATGCAAGAGTTTCAGGCGAAAGTTTGCAGGTTCGAGTCATTTTGTTAATGAGATAGATCCGAGCATATGAGGCAGGACGGATTAATGGCTCCGTTATAAAACACTGAGCTGAAAAGATATATTTTAAGAGTAAAAGAGGATTGATTTCGAAAAGAAAAACGCAGTATTTAGTCTAATTGCAGAGCATAGTTTATAATTTGTCAATATAATATTTTTATCATTTCAAAAGTCCACTTTAAATAGGCTATTATAGTTTAACAGAAATGCTATTCATCCTATGTAGCTCCCAGCAATATGTTATTACTTTAAATTATTTCTGAAAAGTATGCCAAACAGAATAAGCCGACAGAATTTCACACAAACATAATTACTTAACTACATCTATTTCCCGCGAACTCGTTAATGAAAATAACCGACAAAATTACGGGTAATGAGATAAAAAGTGAATTAACGCACTTCGCAGAAAAATGGTTATTACGCCAATCTGATCGGTACACACGAGCGACCCGACTTATTGATTTTAACCACCCCGGGGTGAGTCATCTGCCGTTGCATGCACCTCACCCCTCCCCATAGCCCCGCACTGGACCACAAACACTGTTTGCTCTCTTTGATTGAACTTGAAGAAACTAAAGGGCGGCTGTAAGTTTGTTTGTGAAGTAATAACTGTTTTTTCTTCCCACCGTTCCTTGTTTGCGTGATTTTTTCATAGTCTGCATTCGATTGGTGCTCGTTAAAAGTTTGTCACGACGCTGACGGTTTCTGTCGCAGAAATAAACATTTTTAAGTTTTGATTTTGTTCCTCGTTTTTAATAAAAATGTCCACGGGAAAAGATTTTAATGACATGCAGAGGTCGCCGCGTCGCTGTGGGAACTGTAACAGTATTCTGATTTCGATTTGCATATTATAATTGCAACATGAAAAAGCTGTTTTCTCGTTCAGATAAACATCAAACAAAAAGCTCTTTAGAAATACAAGATCAAAATTTGAAAATCATTTACCTCTTAAACGCTACTTAACCGGCCATAAAATCGTTAGTCTACTCCCGATACCCTATTACGTATTCTGGAAAACTTTTTACCTAATTAAAACTTCCCTTCCCTTGGTCGCAGGTGCGCGGCGTTTGCTCCTAAAACGTTCGAACCATTTACAACGCCACAGCACGTGCGACCGCTTCGCACTTGAACCAAACTCGTGTAAAAGTGAACTGTTATGCGACACTAAGAGTAGAGTGCTTTGCGATATTTCCATGAGACACAGATGCCTTTAAGAGATTGCTATTGCAAAGTGTTCATGTAATAGGCGCTGTAGTAGTTGTGAAGTGAAGCGCGAACGTAAAATATTTTATGTTTGTAGTCGGGTACCCAGTGAGTACTTGAAGTTTGAAGTGCTTCTTCATTCGCTCTGAATTTCATTTACGATGAAAGTTGAAGATGTATCAATATATTTTTAAACAAAAATGACATATAGCCCTGTTGACCAATAGGCAATTGGGGTACACAGACAAAAAAACTGTTAAATAGTGGATGGAGTAGGTTAACTTCTTTATGGTTGTTTTGCTTATCCCTTTGACAAATTAAATGTGATGTTGAATTCACCAGAACAGTCATAAAATTAATGCCCACTGTTTATAGCACATAATGGCATGAAGTACGACTATAAAATTTTCTTTTAACTGACAGCATTTCATCTTAATTCAGATTTTACGACTTAGTCTAAAATTATACATCGCAGTCTTGCCTGATGATGATTTAGTACTTATGTAGAATGAGAATCGAGATATCAATAAAATGATCTAATTTTTAGTTTTTCTTCTTTGCAATCAGTAATTAAACGATTCGGAATGTAAGCTATTAAAATAATTGGCGAGGACAGAAACGGTTAACTAAGTTAGAAAGCATTTTTGCTAATGACTATGTTCGTACGTACACAGGTTTTACGGGAGTATACAACTGCGTTTATTCGAATGGCAATAACTTATTGCCAATAAGTGGTTTCCATACACGACCAAACAGCCGCATCACAACCGAAGAAAATCTAATTGCAAACCAACTTGGGACATAAATCGTCCACCGCATCCCGAGGTGGTGTGATATTTGTTACCAAAGCCGGCATTGTACCGCAAAATTTAACACCTTAACCGCCGCCTGGTCTATTGTCAACCATGATTCATAGCAGTTATTATTGTTACCGATCGTCGAATTAATTTCCCGTGTAGTCGACATTTTCGGCCTGTAATATGCCCGTTTAAATGCCCCGAATTGCTGCGAAAATTAATTTTATCACGATATTTGTTTTACGCTGTAATTAATGTTGTGGTAACGTACGATGCGCGTTCTTCCTTATTATTATCGGAAATATTTTACGGAATGAAAGTCTGTTTGGTATTTGATTTTGTATTTTGTTCAAGGAAGTTTCGGAATGCTATTTTATAACGTTCGTTTCGTACATTTACATGATAATGTAATGGTTTTACAATATTGTCCGTTTAGAATTTTTAAAGGCTATTTGAAAGGCTAACAGATCTCCAGAAAATCAATAATCGGTATTTTACAAATACTGGACCTAAGTAAAGTTAACAAGTTTAAATTATGTAACAGTTTTAGTTGGTTCTGAATAAACGGCTATGTTTTTATTTATATTGTGACATGACGCCTAAATCTCTATTGATCGAATATACTTAAAAAAATAATGTTATATTTTGTTAAAACTGAATATCCTTGTCAAATCAATAAAAGTTGATTTTCTTCTAAAACAGATTTTCTTTCAAACCACGAAGAAATACTTTTTATTTTATAAAACAAGCCAATGTTAATTAACAAAAAATAAAACCAGGCTTATTATTTATTCACTCCGAAGCTTAAGAACTAAAATCTTCTCAACTACTTAATGCGGTTTTGTGCTTAATTTAAACTTTAATGTTTGAGTTTTAGAGTTAGTTTTTGTTTGTTTTACTTGGACGGTGGTAAAGTATTATCATAAAGCTGCATTAATTAGTCAGATATTGTTGCTGCAGTTTGTAGATAATACTCAAGTTCTTATATTTTCTTTGACGGAAAGTAACATTTTATTTATTCCTTGGAATTATGTCTCTCGTCTTTTATTTTCCTATAAGACAAGCAATGTATCTGGTAATGATTATAAACCTACTGTTTAAGTTATTTTTCGGTTTATTGTACGGATTAAAGTAATAGTTAAAGTTTTTTCACGGGGCGTCTGTGATATCTCGGAGACTGTTTGTTCCGTCAACAAATTTTTAGGCGTTAGATATATATTATAATGTCATTTTAAAAGCCTTCGTTTTATAAACTATCAAAAGACGGTTTTTTTTTTAATTTTTGTATTGTACTGGCAGCCTATACTATCATCATACCCGAGCGTACGTTCAAAGAGCCATCAGACCACCACAGATGGGGCCCAATACGGCCGATGCCGATTCGGAGTCGCGGAGAACCTAACGAGTAACCGGGGCTCCGGCTCGACGTGCAGGAGAAGGAACGGGGTGGTTTTTAGTCAGTAAGAGTCTGACACTCCCTTCCGCCTCACCCAGGCGGGAGCAGTCATTCGATGATTTTCCCCCCTTAAAAAAAAATACTATCATCATACCTACATGTACATTATTGTACATATGTAACTATTACATATTTATTCTGTCATTTTTATTTCGTCTCTGATTGTGAATAAAACACAGACATTTTGCACTAAAAGTACGCAATTTTAAAATGCACCAAAGAGAAATCCAATGAAACAAATGTGACGGACGCCCGACTTTCTAGTAATTACTCCTAGTCGTAATGAGATGTTTTTCCTTGCAAATTGCCAGTTTAAAACAGTTACTAACTGTATAAATCACTAAGGAAACCTCTAGATTTTTTCTTGAGGACTTTAGAAAAAAACTTTAACCAATGATATTTGGTCAAGTCAATAAGTTAATGGTTGATGAATATGTGAATGACTATTAGGCATAGGTAATTTCATCAAAGTAGACTTTTTCTCATTAAACCTTGATTTTTAGATAGATCTTAAAATACAATATATCAGTCATTAATGTTTATGTTTCTCTTGAAATAACTGCAACCTATTTATTTAGAATACCACACGGTAATTAAATAAATTTACAGTAACATTAAATAAAATAACACTGCAGTATATTCCATTAGTGTACAACAAACCGAAATTGCGCATTAATTAAGTCCAAAAGTAAAATATTCACATTCGCACCAACAATTTGAATTAAATACTATCAATTTTAATTCAAAACTACATGGGCGGACTGTACGCAACGACTGCAAAGGGATTCTGTACAAATTAATGAACAAACTCGTTGCCTCATATTATGAGTATTTTATGCACTAATATGGACCTTAATGTACTTTTATTTAGTTTCAAATTAAGTTTTCATTTTATTGTTTGCTTTATACAAATGAAAATAGTATTCATTAAATAGTTTGTTATTGTGACTATGATTACTTTGTGTGATAGTTATGAATAGGCAAGTTTATAGATGTATGATTTGGTATATTAGGTCATTATGAGAGCCTACAAGATGAATCTAAGTTATAGAGGTGTATAGAAACATACTTAATTTTGACTAGTGACTTATCAAATCAAACTACATATATCAATAAAAATATTATAGACAAGAACACACCAAAAGCAATAAAAAATATAGACAGATAGTTTCAGCTACAATTTGTCGAAAGAATGAAGAAATATTTTAATTTATTCCAAAAAAATGCAAAAAACCGACCCATGACCGCTGGCTACTTGAAATTCACGAAAAAAGATCAGAGGGAAAATTGCGATCTGCTAAGAATATATTCGGCAAAGATATCATGATAAAATCTTATCTGGGGGCAACAGCCGGACGAAAAGGGTAATACAAATTTAACATATAAACAAGTAAAATGAAACGTATCGCTGGGCGAGTCTGGCCAAGTTCTCCTTTGTGGGATCCTACGATCCTTTGCAGAGAAAATCGGGTAATAATATTTCCAAGTTAGTGAACAAAGAGCCTCCTTTTCGTTTGAACCGAGATTGTCGTGTATATTTTCCCTTAAATATTGTACTCTTTTTACCAAAGTGACATTTATATGAAGCGATCCATATTGTTTTGGCCTCGCTTTCATCCCGAGTTCTCGCTTATCATAATATATTTTGTGTAAATTCTTTTTCTGTTTAATAAAGGTTTTCTTATTAAGATTTTTTGTCTCATATTTTCTGTATAAGATTCATTGTGAGTGTAACAAAGTCTTAAAAGAAAGTTACGGTTTTGAACTTGTAATGAAAGCACAGACGGGTATCATAACATTATTTCAGACTCCGTAACAGCCATTTAAATTAATACGTTTATTATATTTCACTGTACCTTCAAAATTGAATATCCTCATTAAATTACCATAAAGGAATATCATTTGAGACGAGCTTACTAACGACATTGGAGCGCATCACAGACGTATAATATACAGTGTGAATTTAATAGGCTTGTGTAGACAGAGAGAAGCCATAAAGCCGGTTGCACACTCGCGAGCTCCCTAAGCCCCCACACACAAACTCATAAAGGGACTCACTAATATTTGCCTATTACGATTATTTTCACGTACCACACAACCTCAATTAGCGGAGCATTTTCTCCGAATGTGTTTAGTACTAATGTACGCGATGAATGGAAATGAATGGCCTACAAAAGCTATACGAGTATTCGTTAATGCCATCATTAAAATTTTGGCTAATGAATGTAAACATGACTCTGTTAATATGAAGTTTTAATGTGTTTTTATTTTTAAGTACTCGGTTTTGTCATTTTATTATGTCATGTAGACCAAAGCAAACAGATTATTATTTTGTTGAATTATGTTGTGACAGCTAATTACTATTACTTGGCTAATTATATTTTACAAATGAATACTAAAAACAGTATAATGTACAAAAAAAAAAAAAAAAAACGAAAATTTTTATTCATTTACATTGTTTTTGTCAACTATTTCTCTTCTAACCACATACTGTCTAAATTTAATTGATGCGAAATAGACATGCACTATATTCTCTTTATTTCTCTTAATTACAGAGTCGAGAAAGTCTATCATCAGACGGAGAAGGTGCTCGAGGTGACTGTTCTTCAGTCGATTCTTCAGGATCAGGGTCTGAAGAACAGCCACCATGCGACATCGGACTGCTGGAGAGGCTGATACGGACACACCCTGTGTGGTTCCTACCAGGCATTCAGAGGGCAGGCGCCTTCCATTTGCTTCAAGGAAAAGAAGAAGGAGTAAGTATAAGATTTATAGCCTACACTAATGAAAAGATAACATCTTTATGCCTTTTATAGAATTTCTAGTCTTTCAGGTCATGAACAAAATGCTTTAGTTTTAGATCCTATTATCTCTTTGGGAAACTTTTATCATTTAATTAATTTATTACCAAGATTAATTTAAACAAAACTTTCTATGCAAAACCTTTAAACTCGTCGAGTACCGGTTTTGTAGACACAATTATAGAACAATAGGTTGCGGTCACCGGTGACCGCTTGGTGTTTGACAGTTTAAGAGATTTATAGGGTCTGTTCAAACGCCTACAATTTCAATAGTGAAAAAATATCTTTTAACACTTTATTCAACAAAGCATTTATTCAATGAGTTAACGTATTGTTATTCATATTAATTTCCAGAACTTCGTAGTACGACAGTCAAGTCAGCCAGATACAATGGCCATCAGTGTCCGCTTGCCGGCAGACAAAGGGCCCTACATCGAGCACTACTTAATCCAGGCTTCAGGAGGCCGCATCGGACTGGAGACATCACATAACCGCTTCGATAACATACCTGAACTGATTGCACATTACTCTCAATGCTGGTAAGTAGCTATGTGCTAAAGGAAAAGACTTACCTCATCGTTATAAAGATTTTCTATAGATCACTAAGTTCTTTTCTATCTAGCGCAAATTTATCATTTTTAGTATTTGTCATTGAAAACCAAAGCTTTAACATTTTAGTTTCCAAGGCCACGCGAAACTGTACCTTACACCTTTGTTAATTAGTAATCATTTCCTTCCAGTGACGAGTTACCAGTGCAGCTACAATTACCTCGCCCCCTACGAGAGGCAAAAAGCCGTCATCAACTAAGTTCCTTAGCTCTTCTAGGACAAGAGTTCTGGGGTTACCCGATGGCAAACCCGAAGAACAATCCGAACAATCCTCTCTCTCCATGTCAGCTGGCCAATGGTGTTGTTCCCATGGCTGTCACGCCGTCTGATACGGGATCTAGTCTTAGCAGCTTTAATGCCAGTAAGTATAATTGTTCTACCATTATCTTTTTAAAAAAATACATTTTCGTCATAAGGATATTCAAATTAAAATGTATTTTAGGTACCCGAACAAACTCCCGTGAACACATTCTCAGCCCTGACAAGGATCAAAACGTAGTGCTTAAGATGTCTCCAATCGATACGTCAGGTTCCCCACCGAGTCAAAATTCGAACCTCAGCACATTCAAAGGGAAAACAGCTCCATCACCACCGGCTAAACCCAACAGCGCATTCATCAGAGCGCCTAGACCGACCCCACCAAACACTTTGAACCTAATGTCTAGCACTGTAAGTATGAGTTTTAATTACGTTACGTTATGCTATAAGGGTGTTGTAATTTAGAATGTTATTAATAGAAGCTTCACCTGTTTTCAGGCGCATATAACACAGCCTCATACTTTTCCAACCACCAACACGCAACACTCTCCCACCCAATTAAATAATGTTAAAACTACACCACCGCCACCACCACCTCGGTGGGCAAAGCCCCCATTTACCAAACCTTCCTTATCTCCTAAATCTGAAGCTTTCAGTCCTATTAACAAAGTGTCACAGAATGGAAACATAACAGTCACTACCACGGTCACATTCTGTGTCAATAACACTCAAATTCACAATCATCAAATCAATGAGAGTATACAAAGCGACAGATTACAACTAACGCTTGCGTCTAATGCAGTCAATAATAACGGTAGCGCAGACTCTGTATTCAGTATCATGGATGCAACAAAAAATATTGCTGATTCTAATGGAGAATCACAGGTGAGGATTATTACATTACAGCATGATTGTGCACCCGTGATTGCTTTGCACGTACTTTGTTTCTTGCTTTTGCCAAATTATGTTTGTTTCTAACCCATAAAACTTTGTAATTTTCTTATCTTGTATTTTGGTATTTGATTCGACCAATGGACTGACTATAACTTCCTGTTCCTGTATAGAATATGATGCACCGTATGTCGCCAGAAGGAGAGTGCATCAATGCAATGACAGCTAGTTTGCACGGAAGCTTCAAACGTCAAATGACTGAGCAGAATAATGTTGAGCCTGGATCGCCAGTAGAACAACAATCTCAGACAAATACATCTGATTCGGTGGACCCAATCGTAAACAGTTTAACTAAATCAGGCAGCACATTTGCTCCTAATCAACTCGTGTCACCAAATGGCACAAACTCAGTAACTAGTGGAATATTTTCGCCAACGAGTCAAATCAATTCTCCTGTTTCTAACGACACAATCTCTTCTAAAAGCGGAGTCTTTTCTCCTATGAGTCAAACAAACAAAAGTGAAATATTTTCACCGATATCGAGGAGTTCTCCGATATCAGCGAAAAATGTATTTTCGCCAACATCCAATCAGTCAATTATATCTCCCGTTATGGGTAAAGATCGTGATAAAGTTATGTCTCCAAATACGAATACAGCAAGTACCACACCATCTGGTAGATCAAGAAGGAGTAAGCACTCCCACCGAAAGGAGTCCAGACATTACCAGGTAGAGTACATGTTTTCTGAATGTGGAACGTTATACGAGCATTTTGATTGATTTGACTAATAGCACGAAATTGTTGATAACAAAAAGCACATTGTTTTCAACCTATTTAACTTTGTACAGTCTGTTATTCAATTGATTCCAAAAGTTGTATTTATGAAGTATTATTTTAGTGCTCTCCGTAACAATACTATGTGACTTAATACATATGTTATTTTACAGGAATCAGATATCTTAGAATCTCCAGGTGTGTACTGCCGAAGTTCTTTGATGGACAAAGTATCAGACTATGAAGATATTTGGGGACCGGAAAGTAACAGCTGTTCTACTTTCAAACCATTGAAACCCGAAAACGAAAACAACATTCATAATGGTCTGATGAAAAGTAAAAGGCCTGATCTTTTGCCAGACACTTTACGTAAGTAAAAACAAAAGTTTAGAGATCATTAATCATATCTTGGTGTTATAAATCAAATAAGTTTTTTGTGGTTATTAAAGACAATATTTCAACATAACTTTGATTTTTACAGCCAAGCTTAATGCGGCCAAAAGTACGCAATCGATTTTAGAGAAAGAAAACATACATTTAATCAATTCGACGGAAAGTCTGAATGAAAAGAAAACTCTCTCTGATGGCTCTTTGAAGAAAAGTTTTAAGGGTTCCAGTGAAATCATAGCAACTACAAACAGCAAGGGAGAAATCATACCAAAGAGGCCGGACAGACTTAACATAGCTATGAATATGAATAAAAAATTGACTGAGGAGATTGAAGCTGTAGTTAAAAATAGAGAGAATTACAGCATTGAAAGTATGGAGACAATTAAAATAGAAGATGAGAATGTTCTTAATTCTATGGGCGAGGAATCTGAAAAGGATAATGCTGGCAGCCCCTTCTACGCTGATCCTGTAGATGCTTTAAAGGAAGTAAGTATACTATTAAATTACTTACCTATATAAGACACTGTTGAATGTATTCTTGTAATATTGACAATGTATTCTGTTCACAGGCTGCCTTGCCTCAAGTGCAACGACGAAAACTTTTAAGAGTAGGAATGAATTTGTCACAACGCTACTCTGAACCACCTATACAAAATCATCCGTACTACCCACTGCGCGATATGCATAGTATTGAGGAACTTTCTCGTAAGTGTATTTTGTACAGAGAATCACATGTAGATACTTAAATAGAGATTTATATCAAAAAGTGTACCTAGAAAAACTAATTGGTTTGGATCATAACCTTTATTAAACTTGTCATCAATTCATATTGCAGCATCATCACCAAACACGTCATCTTCGGTGGACAACCTGATGTCTCTGCGCAGCAAACCCAAAATGAAACCAGTGCAGCCTCCACGTATCGCGAACAAGCCACCCTCAGGCAAGAACGACCAGACTTGGACCGTTGATTCCAGTTGGGAGTTTATAAGTCAGTGTTACAGAGATACTGTAGAACAGTAGATGCTGCTTGTAAATTTTGCTCTTGCACTCCCAACTTCTCTTTTATCAGAATTCAATATGCACATACATTGGCTATACAAATGATCCCACTTCAAATCGTGGTTACCATTTAATCAAAGATTTTTGGTACTTAGGCTTTTTTTTGGGTTTATTTTTTGATTGGGTAAATTGGTGGCACATAAAATTTATATACCTAATAAAGTAGATAAAGTCAACAGCTACAGTAACTTAACAGAATTTTCGATATGATCTTGCAGATAAAAACGACGAAGGTGCAAATAGTGAGAGTGGTACGTTCCCTTCGCTGGCTGAGCAAGAGTGTCGGCTGAGTGCAGTCGATGACGGAACTCAACACTTGACTGTTCATCAAGTTGTTGCACAAAGGTATGATTAACTTCAACTTAGTAACGAATAAGACGTAAAAGTACAAGTAGTCGATTATGATGTAGTTGAACTTTCAGAAAAACGTAATCTATAATCTGTATTGAAGAAAGCTTTGATCACATACATATTGATGATGAGTTTCAAATCTTGAGCGATGGTTATTACATAACCTCGTGTAAATCACATGACAACAATAATGTCTCACCTGATTATCATGATGAGGTTCTCAAAATTCTTATGTAAGAGCATGATAAAACTATACATGATAAGTCGCATCACTTGAGAATTCGACGACATTGGAAAATTCTAAACACAAGTATCAATTCAACTAAATTCCATTCTGACTAAATGTGTTGTTTATTGTTTCAAATAGATTGCCTGATTTGAGACTGAATGCAGAACCGACGATGTTGCCAGAAGAAGTGAGATCACCACCAAGAGCTTCGTGCTATGACAACGTTCATGATCTGAGACCTTTGTCGGAACAGGTAACTATAGACCACCTATAATGAAAGATCGGCTTTCCATTATCGAACCATAAACTTATTTGTCACCCTAACTGTAAGCGCGGGCCTGCATAGGGCGAGCATGGGTGGCTCGCCGCCTGACCAGAACTAGATCCGAGCGTCCGGTGCGTTGCGTTGCGTCTCTAAGAGCAGATCATCAGATCAGACCACCACGGATGGGGCCCAATAGGGCTGATGCCCATTCAAAGTCGCGGAGAACCTAACGGGTTACCGGGGCTCCGGCTTGAAGTGCAGGAGTAGGAAGGGGTGGGTTTTAGTCAGTAAAAGTCTGACACTCCCTTCCGCCTCACCCAGGCGGGAGAAGTCATTCGATGACTATCCCCCTTAAAAAAAAATATATATATATATATACGAAAAAATAACATTGTTGCCAGTATTCGAAAACAAGATTCATTCTTAATATTGAAAAGTCTAAACATAATATTTTGATGTTATTGGTAGTAAAATAAAAAAAAACTTAAGAACGTAATGATGATTGGATTTTTGCTCATAAAATTGGTATAACAAGTACATCAGGCATATTTGTTAGATGATTCAATTACAATCTATCTCCAATGCCAAGTATCCCACTTTAGCTATTGTTAAATTTTAAGACGCATACCTCATTGACGTACAAGTTGCCATTACCTCTCATTTCATGCACCGTAATATAATGAAGATCATTGATCTAGAACTACATACTATCGTTGATAATAATCCTTTCTCTCCATTGTATCATACGTTATCAATTTCGCAGGCAAGCGACGATGGAACAGTGTTCTCCGAACCTTGGGACAGTTCACAGTGGGACGGATTGATACCTCCATCTAATGGACATCAACTATATGATACGGTAAGCACATCGTTATATGTACCAAGATTTTATTTTATTATAAAGTCCGTTTTACTTTCCATTTACAAAATACTCTTTCTAAAAAAAAGACAGGATATTTTGATCTCACTTCACATGTTTGCCACAGCAACAAAAAAACAAGAATGTTATTGTTTTATTTCCATTTTAAACAGATTAAATGCTTATCTTGCAAAAATATTTGATCATGTTTTATCTGTTTAACTTTAACAATTTTATGACTAGCTGTCTCGCAAAGGTGACCCTACTAAATACTTGATTTCAAAGTAAATACGTTCAGACTAGAGATCATTGAATAAATTTTAAATTTTTTGAATCCATCTTCTACTACACCTCACGTAATTTTTGCATGTTTTACTAGACATTCCATAAGCTACCTGATGGAATACTACCTGTAAGAGAGTAATCCCAGGTGTAAATCCGTCTATTGTATAATATATATTACCGTTTTACTAGACCTATGCCATGGCTTTGTGTCTAGATTATGGCATACAATAAAGTACTGTATTATATATTGTAAAATAAAAAAGTAGTAAAGTATTGGTATAAAATCTACTTTACGTTAGTACAAAGCAGAATTGAACTTACCTTTCTACTAAAATGATGTTCGATGAATTTTAACAGGAGGAGCCTTGTGAATGGGAGTCACCTATTCCGAGGAGGGGGCCGACTGTTGCCACGAGGGCAAAGAGTTTCAGAGACCGACTGGATCCTCTGTTAGGTGAGTTTACGATATTAATAACAATTCTGTTATATCATCAAATCAAAATATAGTTATACAGTGTCCATATGAAAATGTTACCAAATGCGCGTATAGATATTTTAGTATAGTAGTTGTATCTGCAAATGTGTAAGCGCGATAAATTGTCGATGAAAGTAACATTTCCACATTAATAATAAATTGATTAATAATTCTGCTCTGAATGGGAAGATAGGACCAATAAAATACGTCAGTGCACGTGTCATCCAGTTCAATTATTTACTCACGTTACACAACGTACTTATAACACTATGTAAATACAATTTAATATGGAACACGCTGTGATAATGCTCCACTCATATAGATACTAAAACGGAAGATTCGCTAAGTCATATCCAAATACAAATATACAAATTATTGTTCTATTAAAAGACATTTTTAGGTCATTACTATCAAAAGTCACGTTGTTCCCCTTGTACTTGGATGTATATGTAAATTATCTCAACAATATAGCGTATGCTTATATCACTCATCGCAAATCACAGATGTTCTCTGCACAATGCAGACCGATATGTAATTAATCAATTATTACACATCATTATCAAATTAATTAACTCAGTAGAGCACACACAATAGGACCGCGGCGCACAACTGTTATCGTTTGTAGGTACATTAGCTCTGTAAATAAATTAATTATGGCTAAAGAGCAAAGGTCTGCGCGTGCCGTGAATTTCTCAGACATTCTCAGTGACCGGTACAGTGTAGTGACAGTCGCTGTCCAGCACGCGTTGGATGAACATCTCTTCCACCGCGCAGTGTGAATGAGAAACTACCGATTTAAATCCTTCGTGCACGCGGGCCAGAACCGCTTAGTAATCAGTCATGAAGTGGTTCAGAAGGTGGTTCCTCGGAAGGTTCGGGAAGTCGAGAAGTGAAAAGATTGAGCCAGGCTCCAGCAAGCACTGGTTCAAATCAATCGGTTCGTGGGAACACTTCACGTCTTTCAAAGAAGATGTTGAAATGGCAGAGGATGCCTTGGAAGTGTTGGACGTGTTTGTGCCAGTGAAACGTAGTGAAGTGTTTGCGTTAACCACCATAAAGAACTTTAGAACGGACAGTTTAAAAGAATTTGTGTCAGAAAGTGACTGGGTTTTCTTATCTCGCGATCAGCTAATGGAGCCCAAACTCCAGAGACGACTGCAGAAAACTAATTCCTTAACCAGTTTGTGCAAATCTTTAGCCGAAAGATCAGTCAATAAGAAAAGGGCAGAAGTGGTTGCCAAGCCACCACTTTGCCACTGTAATGAACTATTAGGCTCGTGCGAAAGTGACAAACCGTTACGGTTGAATGTGTTTCGAAGGGTAACCAACAGTTTCCAGAAGTTCTTCAGCCCCCTGTATCGTAATGTAAAACGTACATTGTTTAAGCATGAGGAAGTTGTCGAAAGTCAAATTATCGTCGAGGATCATTCGTTCGAAACTTTTGCTTCGTCCAGTGTATACTTATGTAGGTAATTATTGTTTCATTATAAACATATATCCAATGTGCCGTGTTCTAACATTATGACTGTTTATAATTATCACCAAAATGAGGTTGAAACAATAAATATGTCACTTTAATATATCTAAGTACACAAATTACATGTTAATTCGTCGTTATTATAGTAATTACGTTTTAATTTATTATTTTAGGGGTCCTATTTATCTGTTTATTTATCAATAATGCGACGCTTATATCGTTTTTAAATTATCAGACCTTTAAACTCATTAAGATTTTTGATTTTGTTTACAATGTTATCTTACTGACCCATGTGTGTAGATTTTAAATAATTTTCTAATGAGTATGAGGATAACTAAGTTTTTAACAAACAAAACATTTCTTAGGGCTGATAAGACAAGGGACAGGAATGCCGGCGACAGACGTTTAAAAAGCTCATTGCCATTTGCTACTATTGTTACCGCAATACCAACCTTATCATCGCTGACTCACAGAGTGATACAGGGTGTGCACCGCGAGCCGATGTGGGTCAAAAAATCCCTCGGTCTAATGTTCGCACAGAATATTATTATTTTATCGGTTTATCTAGATTATGAGGTCATAATTTCCGACGTGCATCCATCGTGTGTGTTGCATGCAATTTAAATGCTGATTTTAAAAGACTAAGTCTGTAATCACCTTTTTGAACGCAAATTGAAAGTTTTTTACTCAAACTACTTACCAAAAATAGTTTAAGATTTGGAAATTCAGTCATTAAATCATGTACCTGCGCAATTATTTTTATATTATAACGAATTTAATTAGCAACAATTTTTACGCAATAAACAAAAAATAATCACATATTTTTCCTCAAACAGCGGCTGGCAGAGTGCGTGCCTTACGCGGCGGTCGTCAAACCCGCGGCGCAGGCGCTGCGCTGCGTGCATACGCGCTTCATCTTGCGCAAGACAAGAGCACAACTTTCGCGCAGAACATCGACAACTTTATCGCTTGCACTCTTGATTCTAAGGATACAAGCCCACAGGTAAGAATATAGAAAAATTAAAGTAATAATGTTAGTTAAATATTTTGAAAATATCGATAAGTAGGTACCAGGCAGTGGCAGCTGCCATTAAATTACAAATCAATAGTAATTTGCACATTATTTGTAAACAAACGTCATTTGTTTTAGTTGCTCTTATAGGAAACGTATTGCCGATTATATTCTATGCTATTATCTTAATGAATGCCTCATTGGCCGAGTGGTCGCAAGTGCAACTGCCAGGCTCTCTCTCTCTCAGTCTCGGGTTCGATTCCCGGATCGGGCAAAGAATTACTGGGTAATTAAAAAAAAACTCAGTGGTAGCACGGAGTCTGGAATTGTGCCTGGTATATTCTCACCCCCTAATACATGGGACTCATAACATAAATAGTGAAAAGTGGGTGTTACATTGCACAGTGGCACTAAGTGCTGCAATGTGCACTTCCTGCCTACACCTTCGGGGATAAAAAGGCGTGATGTTATGTTATGTTATGTTGTATCTTAATAAATGACAACACATTATAATTATTGTCAATAGTTGGCAAAGGACAATGCCAGGTGCTCAGTACATCTTTGACCCACTATATTAGAAGTCATGTACAAGCATGCAGTATTCAGCATCGTGTTGTGTATTAATTACAGATACTTAAACTTTTGTTCTGAAACCTGTAAAACTTGCGGTTTTTGTTTAAAACACAAAACAATAATGATAAATAACGCGAAAACAACGGAAACGAACGAGATCGCTCTGAAAGAAAATATTGACTCTGACAGTTGACAGCTGACGAGAGCTTCAAAACGTTTCGTTACACAAAAAAATCATAACTAATGATAGTAATCGTTTATTTTTTTTATTTTCGTGATTGTTTGCAATTTCGTCTGTAATTATTAATAAATGTTATTCATAATTATGCTCTTTATATAACATTTTATGTATAATGATATCTTTTTAGAGTTACTTACTTTTTTATTTTCATAGTTTCGTACAAACGATGCGTATGATGTAACGCAAATAGTCATTCGACAATTAGAATGCGCATTGCAAAAAAGTATTTCCGGGAGTTAACTTCTTTTTTTATTAAATTGTAAACCGCAAGTTTAAAAATAAAAAGATTTATAGTGAATAGGTTCATTATTCGTCAAAATTATTTTCATCAATGTACTTTTTTTGTAAATGATAGTATGACTGGGTCAGGATCTGGCATTGTCATTTAAATTCTTCTATTAAACCTTTCACTTCTCATTTTTCCTCAGGTGATGATGAGAAATATGAGGCAGTTCATGTCAGGAATGAAGAACTACCTGGTCAAACACGGTGAGAGAGAGTTCGAGAAAGAGGTAGAAAAGGAACGACTGAAGGTGAGTTCTTAAAGTGTTTACTTACTCAACAATCTACCGCTTATTACAACTTACTCCAATCATTCAATTTACTTCAGTGGATTTTTTACTTTATATCTAAACGATAGAGTTGAAAATCTAATAAAGAAAGAGAGACGAGAAATTTGACCTGCTACTATGTATAAAGTTGACTGCCTCGTTGGCCGAGTGGTCTCAAGCGCGACTCGGGGTCGATGCAAGGGTCGAGCATAGTAGTAGTTTAAAAAAAATGTCAGTGGTATCTCGGAATCTGGTCTGGAATTGTGTCCGGTAATAAATGCCATGGTTATAGCTCCACCCCCTATTACATGGGACTAATAACATAAACAGTGAAAAGTGGGTATTATGTTGTACAGTGGCATAATGTGCACTACGCCTCTGCTTACCTCTTCGGGGATAAATGGTGGGATGTTATGTTATGTGTTATGTATAAAGTCGTAACTCGCAGAGCTAATATCAGAAACTTCTGATGACTCTTTTTCTTAAACATGTGATAATAAGACGACAAATGATTCTAACTATATCAATAACCCATTTTCCAGCTGAAACCAACGGAGTTCCTGAACTTGGATGCTATATTAGAAGGTGTGATGCACCGATTAGTGGTACGTCCATTGCGCGCGCGCCTCTACACTCTCCTGGCCGCGTGGCACTCGGCTGATGTGCGTCGTCTACACGCCGCCATTGAACGAGCACAGCATGCCACGCCTTTACAGCTGGGAATTAAGGTATATTTTACTGTAATTGTCTCTATATGTCAAAAGAATTGTCTCAGAATTATGCTCCTCCGTTCTTATTAAGGGTTGGTTTTTCACATTATTATAGTCGTTGAAAGATGTTGAAGCTCTTTCGGTGGTTATTCCTCTAAAGGTGTCTAAAGTATCTTCCGACAAATAGTCAAAAACCAAAAACCTTATTCCAGAAGAATTGATCAGGGTCAGGCAACAAAATACTTCATTCTGGTGATATTTAATTGACGATGTTTTTCCAGGAATCTACTAAAGTACCATCATCAGCAGTATTAGCAGTAATCTCGAAGCATTTCCTCAAGATGCAGGAGGCTGACTCCCCACTGGATAAGCTAGAGAATCTCCTGGCAGCTATATCAGTTATGTTCAATGCTGTAAGTACCTTAATTTTTCTATTTGTCCCTTTGCAACTTAATCAGAAAGCTGCTGAAGCTGAAGTGGTCATTATGTAATTAAACTCTTAATTACCTTTTCTTTAAACCTTGACAATCACTGTTTATGGTAACAAGCTCTTTATATTTTTTTTTTTTCAATTTTGTTTTGACAAATATGACCCTTGTCGCTATTCATTTTGGGGAGATATGATAAGGACTTCTTTCTTTTTAGATTCGAGGTGAACGCAGTGTAGGAGCAGATGATCTGCTGCCAGTTTTGGCGTGGACTATTGCCAGGAGCCGACTGGTCTGTGCTGAACTAGAGGCAGAGCTGATGGCTGGACTGTTACCAGCTGCATTGTTAGCTGGAGAAGGAGGTTATTACTTGACGGCTATGTTTTCCGCCGTGGCTGTCTTGAAGAGACTTGCTCCTGAACCGCAGCCTGATAGCACTACGCCTGTAAGTTTTATTTTATTAATTCAATTAGTACGATATTCATAGTAAAGTGTTCTACTTGTAACAGATTTAACTTGATTTTACTGAGAGAACGGTACAGGTACAAAATATAAAACTCTGATTGTTGCAAAAAATACATAATATGTCTCTTGCCATATCTATTAGAAACACAATAATAAAACATGAGCTATTAATCTAATAACGATAAGTATCATTTGTGTCTAAAACTAGAATATTTTACCCCAGCAGTGGCGTCGAGGCTCAGTAGACAACAATAGAGAGCAGCATTCAGTAGCAGTGGTACGAGTAGTCTTACCGGATGAGTGCCGCGGGTCTATACGGCGTGTCCCAGTGCCGTGCCGACCCGGCGCACGCGCAAGGGACCTATGTCGAGCGCTTGCGCATGCCGCCGCCATTACCAACCCACAAGATTACGCTTTATTTGCGTTACATGATGGACATGGTATGTAATGTTATTATTTTTTATTTGGTAAAGTTTAGATATGTGAATGTCAGATACCCAATTAACAAACCGACGTCTTAGTTTAAAACTCATAGGGTGGTTAGAAGATACCGTGCCACATAGTGTACTATATTCTATCATTTTTAGTTCTTAATATAATAATTTCTAAATTGTTATACTTGTTGTTACAGAGACTATGCTGAACGAGAATGACTGCCCACAGGAAGTGATGTCGGAGAAGACTGGGCAGAACTTCACACTGGCCTACAGAAGAATAGACGCTAAGATCGCCTGGCCGCAGCAGGCACTACTCTCTTACCCCTAGACTGCTTCCTATAATAAAAACTAGAAATACGAAGCGACAGAAATATCTTAGCAATAATAAATAAACTTATAACAAAACACGCTCAGAACCAACACAGTATGGGATCGAATGAAAATCTATATTTTTGTCACCTTAACAATAATTATAAAAGTGATATTTTCTTCAACTGTTTTTTATAAATGCTAACATTTTCTAAGCTTACCTTACTTATAAGTACATCGCTTATAGGCAGTATTTTTAAAGCATCGCTACTCAACGAGCATACTAATGTCATATAACTGTAGCTTTTTTACTCAATAATGTATAAGTACCTAATTTTATATTATTATTGTAATCTGACTGAACTATTGGGACGTGGCTCCCATTTTGTACATTTTGTATCGCGCGGGGAGCTCTCATTCGAAGTGAATGTGATGTATGGATAAAATGTTCACCATTTTTCTTTTATTCTATTCATATAGTACCTACAGTCGAGTCGAAGTTCGCAGTTTGAACCTTCTGCCTTATAAAGGCAGTGTTTATTTCTTCAAGTGTGCGTTTGTGTATGTTCCTAAATTTCGTCGCGTAGGTACACTAAATAAAACTCACCAAATTGTTATTTTTAGTTTTATACATTTTAAGTAATTCTTTTAAACACTTTTCTAGTGCTAAAATTTACTTTTGAAGTATCTATACATACATATTTTAACTCTTACTAACTTGTTTATGAACTGTGATGTTAATCGTATTAATTAGTAATACTGTAAGGTTTTGTATTAATTTTTGTATATTCGTAGAGCTGTTTCTTAATATAATTTATTTATATGTAACATTAAGGTAATTAACCCTCAAACGTTAGTATGATGAAGGGTAAATTTTAGTAGACTGTGAGATCCATAAAACTGTATTAAGTATTACATATGGATTGCTTTTTAACTTAACATTTTCTAATATCGATAAAAATAAATGCCCACATCACTGAAATTTACCCTTTATTCAACACTTATTCAGATGAAACATTGCCTTACATTTTCGGTAACTGACAATATTTTTGTAGTATTTCATATTATATTCCATGTCAATTGAAAAAACGGAATATTTTGAGTCCTGGAGAAATTATGAGATTGTAGTAATAAGCATTTGTGAAAAATCAAAACCAGTACTTTTTGACACTGCCAGTCTCGAAAAAGGGACTTTCAGATGATATTTATTTCATATCTTTACATAATCGGACAACTGAAGTCTTATTTAAACTGTCAAACACCAAGCGGTCACCGGTGACCGCAACCTATTGTTCTATAATTGTGTCTACAAAACCGGTACTCGACGAGTTAAACTAAACACTGCCAACTTATTTTCCGATTTTATTAAATCATCAGATGTGCATTTTATTAATACATATGTATAAATACTCTCATTGTTTTACAAAAATCTTACATTCATTTGTACACTTTAACTCATGCTCATAAATAATCACCAAATCCTTTGACGTGCAGACAAAATATAATAAAGATTTTTATAGACATTTCAACAAGAAAAAAAACCGATACTTTTTGTGGGCAACAATTCATTCTGAATATGTGACCGTCGTACGCGCAGTGTAAAGCGCGCCATTTTGTATTTATTACGTCACTCTTATTAACGTTAGTTGTAAACACGTATATTGTGTTTTGATAAAGTTTTCAGTCATATTGTGAAGGAGTAAATGAATTTTTACCAAATTTGAAACATGTTGTTTTATTTTTCTCTGTAACTTTTATAGGAATACCCTTTCTGATGTGTAGAAACAATCTTGAACATAATTAAATTTAGTACAACGATAATAAAATACTTTAGAAAATATAATGGAAATCGTTTTACTATTTAATTTAAGCTACTGAAATGTATCTGTGGGTCAGAAACAAACACACAAACATAAATACGACCTGCACTTGCATAATTATTTTATAAACGACGTTTAAAAAACGAACTTCAGCCGCCTGTATTTTTAAGTCAACATAATATAACATCACGCTTTTTATCCCCGAAGGGGTAGAAAGAGGTGTACAGGTGAATCCCATGTAATAAGGGGTGAGCCTATAGTCATTTACCGGTCACAATTCCAGACTTCGTGCTACTACTGAGAATTTCTAAAAAATCCAGCAATACTTTGCCCGACCCGGGAATCGAACCCAAGACCCCTTGCCCGGCAGTCGCACTTGCGACAACTCTGCCAACGAGGCAGTCCAGAGGCCAAGAGAGCAGTATTTTGAAGTCAGTTAATTAATATACCGTCTCCTAAGTGTTACAAACACTACTCTGAAAACATCGGTTCATCTAGTCGCGAGATAATCGCGATCAAATATACCTACTGAGATACTTTCAAACTGAGATCCACCTTTTTACCTTTTCAAATCCCTATTTTAACCGACCGTTTAAGGGGTGAAAATCATGGAATGACTGCCTCACCCAGGCGGGAGCCTGGGTGAGGCGGGAAGGAGTGTCAGACTCTTACTGACTAAAAACCACCCCGTTCCTTCTCTTGCACGTCAAGCCGGAGCCCCGGTAACCCGTTAGGTTCTCCGCGACTATTCAGAAACCATAGCAACTAACATTTCCGTCAGTAAAGTTACACATATCGATCACACAATACATTCCAACACTGAACACAGTCCTTGCCATTAACAAATACGCACAGTTAAAAAAGTTACAGGTACTGGAATCATTAACAATGTACCCATTAGATGAAAAACGTACAATGCAAGCAAATTACCCCAAAAAGTTACCTAAACCACATTGGGATAGAGTGCATTTGGAATATCCAGTGAGAAAACATCCAGGAACTGGAGTGTCGAGTGAAACTATTGGACGAAAATGGGCAGACCAACCAGAAGTGATAATGGGAAAGGTAAATAATTCGGTAAAAAAGTAATAAAATTGAAGCTGTTTTATTACTTATTACCATTAAGAAAGCATTTAAATGTCTTATTACCTAGGTGTTAAAGTTAAATACGCTCTGTCTGGACTGGCAATAAAATATGGTCACAGTTCTAGGATAGAATTCATTCACAAACTATGTCAATGGCCATACTGTTTATTACTACTAGTATTCAGTACTCTTACTTCGATTTATTTTAATGAATTTTGAATCGTAAAAGCAAATATGCACTTTAGAACGAAGTTTTGCGTGAGACAGAAATTGTTAAACTATGACTTATGCAATAAAAGAAATGGAAAAATGAAATAAAAATAACAAAATTGCGATAAATTAACTTGTGTCCTATTTAGAAAACACCAATCGAAGAGATCAAGGACTACTTTCGAGACTACAACATTACCAAACAACTGACAAGGTCACAGTCAGCTAACCATTACGGCTTCAAACTGCCTGAAACGAAGAGGTTCAACAAACATACGTCTTGTTTGGAAAACGAGTATGTTTACCCGCAGCCTAGAAGGGTAACGTAATTTTCATTTTTACTCCAAAATAATTACTCTAATATATGTGAAGAAAAATGAAAAAATCTGTATATTATTTTGTCTCCCTTAATGACTACAAGATTAGGTGTTGGAAGCGACTTGCTATCTTTATTGGATCGCCCATTCTATATAACAGCTGAACTGACAACATTTTCATAATAAAATTACAAACATCCCGTTTATCAAACAACTCCAACTTACATTTCATACATTTCCCACCATAGATATAATAATATTTCTGTGTTTCCCAATAATTTTTTGTTACACAAATAGTCGTATAACGAATAATTTGTATATTTTCAGTCTTCGCTGCTAGTTTAACATAGTAATGTTCGTATTAAATAGCATTTATTATTCATTGCTTTCAAAAACTATCGGGGAGTAGTGAATAAATTGTTTCGTATCTTTCATTTTCGCTTTTCAGAATGTATTTTAATTCATTATCGAGTTTTGTTGCTACATAATAGCAGAATAATTATTGTATTTCAGATCGAAGACAGAGTACCACAATGTTCAGCGCATGGCACCACAGAAATGCGGAGTCATTACACTCCACCAGTTATACCTCCCTGGTTGATCACAGATAAGGATCGGTACAAACTCCTCCCCACAAGACTTCCACAAGACCCAGTAAGTGTGTGTTGGTATACTTCACATGAATTTACTTCTTTCTAATTATTATCAAATTCTATTAGACATGATATACGTGGACTGCTGAATAAATATCTGTCTTCTAAGACGGTTTAGCGTAATTAAAGTCTAATATACCTAACAGTTTTAATGACAATAGGTAGGTACCTACTTGACTTAAATCATTAAAGTGAAACTGACATAAATACACCGCATTCATACCAAAGTAAATCACTGTAATTACAAGTTCTAATATACTTAATATACTTAATATACTTAATATTACTATTTACACGTGATACCAATTATCTTCCAAATACCGATTCACATCACTGAATAAAGCTAATTACGAAATTCCATTTAAATTATGAACCACCACCTTTTTTAATAATTATTCTTTTTTAAATTTTATAGGATTTTATAAAATTTAAATTAAACTTCAACTGCACAACAAAAACCATCTTATTTAATAATTAAAGTATTTTTTCTTTTGTCTTCTTTAGCTTCCTCTAGAACCCAGCAGGCAAACAGAACTAGAGCCTATTGATACAACACATGAAGGTTTTGAGAAGTACTTAGACCCATACCTGACGACCAGCCGACTGCATCATCGACCCTACACAGCAGATCAATTGCAGAGACAGTCATGCTCTAAGGATATTGTTACTTATTACACTTTCAAGGACATGCCTTGGGTAAGTTAGAAGTTTACGAGGACATAGGGCAAAAAACTAGGTGCATAAAATTAGAGACAAATGCAGTTCACAGTTCATAAAACTTATTTATTTAAGCTTCATGCACAAAGTGTACATTAGGTGGACTTAATGCCTAAGGCATTTTTCCTTCTCATCTGTTCCATTATGTACATCTATCACATATAGATATATATCACATATAGGTGATAGATGTACATAATGGAACAGATGAGAAGGAAAAATGCCTTAGGCATTAAGTCCACCTAATGTACACTTTTTGCATGAAGCTTAAATAAAAAAGTATCTCTATACCATCCAACGTTAGTTCGGCAGATCAGCAGTGCTAGCCAAATGCCATTTAGCGCTTGTCTACATGTAGAATAGAAAACCAAATTATATGGAATTGACGTAAATTTTGACACTTGTCAGTGTCATCCCCATACATTTTGATTTCTACTCTCTCTGTAGACAAGCGCTAAAGTGGTTTTTGGCTAGAGGCCCAGGCCTTCTAAATAATTAAAATCAAATAAAAACAATATTTCTAAGAGATTCAATAGGGATGAAATTCAATCGTCGAAAAAAATGTCGGTTTTGTTGACGCAATCTTCAAAAATCTTCAAAAAAAAATCGCAATATACAAAGATTTGTCATTATTTTCCAGACAAGAACTCCAAAACCTCAAACAGAATGTCGACTTCCAGTGAGCAAAGCAAAGTCTGTGTATGACAGAGAAAAGTTTAAGGAAGGTTTTAGAGAAATAAGGACCCATAATAAACTACCATGGGTACCAGGGTATGTAAATAAATGATGTATTATCATATGCTGTTGGAAAATTTATTTTAATCTTCTGTTCTGATGTTATTCTGTATTGTCACTTTGGGAGATATTTGATCAAAACAAAATTTTAAAATTATAACATCTATTTTGAAAATTCATTACTTTTTTAATCTAATATTTCTGTTACAAATAGGGCAATGACCAAATAGGGCACAGCATAACTAGCCGAAACATACTTAAACCAAAGCTTGTTAATCTTCTTGAAATAATTATTTTCTAGAACGTTCCGGACTGAAGCAAGAGACAACTACATACCTCCTACACTACAGCCAGTCTCTCAAATACACAATTACGAAGAAGAAGCTAGAAGTTTCTATGAGAAGTCCGTTGCACAATTATCGACTAACATTTCAGAAGAATACGACGCTTTTCAAAAGGAATATTCAACAGAAAATTCTGTTGTGGGCTCTAGAAGACCGATCTGTTCTGTCCTCGACCAGTATATTGAGAAAAACAAGAGATTAGAGAGAAAAAGTGTGCAAATAGGATGATTTAGACATAAGGTTTCAATATTTTAGTGCAAAACCGTTATAATAAACGTGGAATAGCCTTTTTTTTTCGAATTTTCATTTTCATCCTTTTAATTTTTTCTTTCGATGATTTTCAAGTACTCATTCGGTAATAGTGGAAACAGAATATAAAATATTACTTCATCTGTGTCAACGTCATCATGATTACCACCACTCCCTAAAAGATTTCCTACATAAACTACATATTGATATTTATCATACCAAAAAAAAGTATTAGCGGAGCAAAATTACAATCGAGTTAAGTGTAACAACATGGCACATCCATGTTGTAACAATAGAGACCACAAACTTAACATACATTACTAAAAATAATAATAATAATATCATTCCTACGATGTCCTTTCAACGAATATGCGGAAGTATAATTGCTCTTTTACCAATTTGATACAAATAGTTACAGAAAGGTAATTTTGAGTATGATCTATTTTTTCGTTCTCGAGTAGAGGCCACAGATTGGAAAACGTAGCGTGGGCAGGCCTTCCGCTAGGTATGATGCAAGTGGTAAGCTGTCATTTAACGTGGAGGACTAACGAGGAGGTATTTGTCCAGCAGTGGACATGTCATCTTCTGGCTAGCGACGATTCTTTTTTTCAATGGAATAGGAGGCAAACGAGAAGATGGATCACCTGATGGTAAGCGATCAGCGCCGCCCATGGACACCCGCAACACCAGAGGAGTCACAAGTACGTTATTGGCCTTTTAAAAAGTAATACGCTCTTTTCTTGGAGGTTTGAAGTTGAAGGTTGGTTTATTTTGTTACAATGATAAACCAAAACACATTTTACCGCTATCTTAAATCAAAGACAACAGATCGTGATTAAAAGTTACTCTTGATAACAATGAGGTAAACTACAACAAAAACCTTTTTGAATTTTACAGACTACAATGCATCTATGACAACATAAATTTTGACAGTTCATTAACAATCATGACGTAAGATCGGGTACTATTATTTTTTAAATAAATTACATAATAATTAGAGAAATGGTTCTAGCCAAAGCCGGTGAGAATGCCTAACAAGATGATGATGAATATTAAATGGAAATAGTATACTTCTTTATTGTAATAATATTGATTTCGTACGCCATATATTTGATTCAACCTTACTGGATCATGATACTGTCGGGTGCTATTATCTATTCGTTGTATACACAGCTGGAAAATTGGTAAGTGTTAGAAGGCGTTAATAGATTTCATGAACGTGTGTCTGAAATAAAAAAACAATAAACTCGAAAATAATACTGGTAAGTACAGAAATTACATTACATCCACCACTTTGAAAGTTCCTTCCTCTATTCTCCCGCACTTGATAAAAGCTTTTTACCTCCATGACTTCACCTGACAGGTACCAATAGTGAAATAATTATAGACTAGAACCAACCAAAATCATGCGATGTAGGCAGGGAGGATAATATATCCCCGGGTATTTCCACCAGCATATGCCGCCATACTCCTCCACACTATTTTACATCACCTACTACTTCTGATAGAGCGACAGCCAGCTGTTAGAGTCTGACCAGTGATACCTTGTGCGCCTTCTGGAGCACTAGAATGGTTCTTCAATACATTCTCCTCGGTCAAGGACACGGAGTTTCACATACTATCTAATAATGGTTGCCTTGATAAAATTTGATTGTACCATATTTTTTCTTTTTGATAAATTCCGTGCCCCGTACCGTTTATTATGTATGTCTTTACCATTCACGGGACCACAGGGTCCCGGTCATTTGGGAGGCGTACGAGGGGCCGAAGCCAACTGCGCAGAGGCCCTTTAGACAACTTTAATCTAAATATAATGGACACACAAACCAGCGATTATCCCTGTATGCACTATGGAAATGCACCCAAGGACAGTCCCCGGTTAGTGTAGAACTATTGTGGATAATGGAAAAAAAAGGTAGGGCTATGGATGGGTTGCTGTGGACTGGAAAATTGGGAACTATGGATGACTATGGCACCTGCCGAAACAATGTAATTATTACACGTAAAAATGGCAGGCGGAGACTCGCCAACTCACCGACCGGGCCCCGGGAATGGTTGCTAGATATAGCAACAGAGGGGCAACGAGAATGCGAGTGGCTGAAGGGTTAAGAAACTACCACCGCTTTCTACTCAGATCATCTGCTCCAGCCGAAGCCTCCTGCATCCCTGGCCCACTCGCGACTTACGAATAGTTTCTTACCCTCCGAGCAGGATCACTGCTCTCGCGACTCCACTCTGGACGGCCAATGAAGGCAAGCCAGAGGTGGGAGACCTGTTCCTTGTCATCGTTCACTCCAGCCAGCCAATTAAGGCAAGCCGGAGAAGAAGGAACGGTAACTTCTCCCTGGAGCACTCGGGATGATGGTAGCCCGCGGGATCGCTAATGCCCGTCACCTCGCCTCAAGGTGCCCTGCGGGCATTATTAACAATCATAGTGTGCAGATATTTTAAATCACTGTGGTAAAGTAATATAAAGAAGAATGTTTTATCTCAATACTTTATACTACTTACACAGTACTTAGGATACAAGTGTCTCTTTGGTTCAAACTTGCTACCTGTGGCGTAACTATAGGGCAATAAGTCAGAAAAATGCCACGGATCCCCAGCTGGAATGGGACACCGTTTACAGGTTTTTATCTGAACTTCTCTGTTTTTTATTAGGAATGGAGGCCCATGAATTTTACACGGGCCCCGAACGGTATAATTACGCCACAGCTTGCTACCATGTCCACCGTAAATTGGCAATTACTTTGTATCGAATTGTTCCTAAGCCAATTATTACAAATATTATTTATGTCATTAGCTGTTAACATTAGAATTACTTGAAAGTGGAAATTAAGATAGGAAAAGTTAACGGAAAATAATAATGAAACGGCAATCATCCATGTTAAAACACAATTAAACGTAACTGTAAAATAACTGTAATGACTGAAAATATTTAACTGGAAAGCTAAATTAGCAACAGGTTCTACTCGTAGAATATAAACCAAATGCAGACCTGTTCTTGGTCTTACGCGACTTCAGTGCTGTCTGCATCTAGTTTATTATTTCATTTAAAAATTGGTCTTTAATCGATTTTACAGTCGCCGTACATAAGATTAAAATATTAATCTATGTACTATAATTCGTAGACACTACCGTACCTGTATATCGTTATCGGTCCGTACGTAAAAGCACATCGTAAATTGATCACATGTGAGTCAAGTCAGGTGCGGACCGACCGCGAATTACCAGCAATTGTAACATTTACTCGTAAATATTTACCACAAATGTTCCCCGCACAGTGATCAAACATAGACCGGTTCTATTTGAAAGAAATTATCACCATTTCAAAGTACAAAATGTTACGGATTAGTCAACTTGTGATCGTGTTTATTGTCGCGCTGAAGCAGGTCGAGAGCGATGCTTCACGAAAGGTAAAAAATATTTAAATAAATAATTCACTCGATTACATTTAGCCGTATCTAAATGGTGCCAATGCTGATTACTGTCATTTAATTCGTGAACTGCAAATGTTCAAATCGGTTTGCGTTAGTTAAAATAATATTGATGCCTTAAGTAATGAAATATTTTTCAGCAAACATATTTAGTGTTAAACCGTGTTTATTACTTCTGCTTTTTCTTAGCGTTACTGGTGAAATTGCATTTTAAATAAATGGAAACAGCGTGCCAGTAGCAGCTAATATAATATGCAAGTTACTAACAGCTGTGGAAACATTGAAACATTAAATTAAAATATGAACATACCTACTATAATTTTCATATGTCTGTATTCCTTTTACATGTGGCACTTTTTTTCTACTTTTAAACTTGTCATATTAACATCTAAAGGTTGTGTTTCAAAATTAGGCAATGTCTGAATCCCTGTCATGTTTGGCACATATTTATTAAGACTGTCGTAACGCGTCACAGCCAGACAGAAGCCTTAAAAATCTATAACAACAATGTGTTTATTATTCTATTTAATGGATTATGGAGGATATGTCGCTCTGTGAAAATGCTATTAGGCCAAATCTAAAGACACGATAGAGAAGGGAAGGTATACAAGAAACAAAAGGGCCGCAAAAAATTCAAAGGTTCAAATATGTCGGATTTCTACCCTTGCCGTCAGACCCGTAATTAGTTTCAGTCCCAGAAAGCTAATTTGTGCCTGTAACAATGATAATGAGAAACCCAAAGAGATATGTTACAAGACTTAGAAAACATTGCCAACTGAAGTAACTAAGTACAATGTAGAAACTGTAATAAAAAGTTGATTCGTGATTTCTAAACAGCAGTGTGAAATTGATTACAATCATCATTGTTTTGCAATAATTTTCCCCATTTATTGTTTGTAATTACACACAATTACTTTTTCTTTAACTGTAAATACTGTTGGTATCGATTATTTTTTATGTGCACAAGCCAATTCACATTACATTAAATAATAATTTTATTCTTTAAACAGTCCACTTTTACTTTTCATTTTAATTTGAATATATTTAAGTTACTTTACAGTTAAATTAGGGAAAATATCTTCATCTTGCACGTGGTAAGTTTTAACACGCAACATTGTCTCTAATAATTATATCAAACATTTGCTTGATAACATGTGATTTTTCTTAATTTTTTTGTAAGAGTAGGTACGTATTCTAAAACGTAATTTGAATACTACATAGGTACAATATGTACAATGTAATGGTATATATATGTACATAGGTACAACAGTCATTTGCTCCAAATCATGTTTGTTGTACATTATTACAAAAAACCACACAATGTAAATTTCGGTAGATATAATTGCTGTATTTTTCTCTAAAAAAATGATGTTGTTATTTTTTTCTAGCATTCACACAGGCATTCGAAAAAGGTCAGAAAATATTTGATTAGTTTTAAAGATATTAATAAAATACCTAGTATTATCCAGATATGAACTTATACTACTGTATCTTTTTTAATGGTTCAAGTTTAAAATGAGTAGGACCCAAAATACTACCTTGTGGTACTCCAAAATGTGCACCTTCAATTTGTGTCAGGATAGATAATGGCTGATATTATTGGTCAAATACTCAAGCTATTTATTAAAGGTATTAAGGCGTGTGTATGCAGTCAGTAACGTACGTGCCTACCACATACCAGTAATGGGAGGTCAACATCTCATGAGCTCGCAATCTGGAGCAGTGAAAGTTGTCCTGCACAAAGTTTTAAGTCCTAATGTTTATTTATGTCACGTGTGTTATTGAAGGTGTGTTAAAATTGTGTGTCATATTATTTGTGGCTATAAATTCATATTAAGTGTGACATATAAATTGTTTGCTTGTTTTTACCTTTAGTACTCGTGACACGTGATTTAGGTCAAGAAATAAGTTTTTGAATAGGACGCCCTTAACTTGATCTTGTTACGCAGCTGAAATTATTTTTTTTTCTTAATTTACCAAATTATATGTTTTTTTTTTCAGATTTCTGTTACAATATACTACGAGAGCCAGTGTCCGGACAGCAAGAATTTCATTTTAAACCAACTGGAACCATCTATACGCAACCTGCAGAAATATATAACTCTGCATTTTGTGCCTTTTGGAAAAGCTACAGTAAGCCATTTTTGTTAAGTAAAGTAGAAAATAACAAAAACTTATGGCCAGTAGAAGAATCGTATTCCGTGGTAGCCATGGGGCTGGGTTCAAAAACAAAAGAGAATCTTAGTCGAAAATCTAATAGAAAAATGCTTATGTACATACTTACTTTATCAATTTCTAAGTCCTAATTTAAAATTTACAGAGTGTTAACCAAGGGTACGATGGTTTCCTATGTCAGCACGGTCCCACCGAGTGTACCGGCAATATGGTGCAGAGCTGCGCGCTGGATCTCATGCAGGAACGAAACGACGTGGAAAAGGTTCTATATGTCGTCTGCGAAATGATGACTGAGGCAGGAACTAGAAAGGATATGAAGGTACTTTTGTATATTACATCACTATCTTCTTACCTTGAGATAAATTAATTGAGACCATTTGGCAATAAGAAGTCACCCCACCGTGCACGTTGGTTATGATTAATTCCTACTTAGTATAAAAATTGTCGCTTTTTTTTCAATTGTCCACGTGAATAAGCCGTTTAGGTACATATTACAATTAATTTTACTTGAAGGTACTTTATAGTTGGATCGTATTCTTTTTACATCATAGTCATTACCGTTCTGTCTTTGTTCACTTTTAAGCGTAATCGTCTCCAATAGCATACCGTAGACCTCGACCTCCAATAGCTTATATCCTTTTATTTTATTTTTATTGTTCGTCTAACCACTTGATTTGTCTAGTTCATATTTTTCTAAGTTTTTTATTAAATACCTCTTTAAATATATCATTCATAATTATGATAAACCATGAAATTATTACTTTTAGGTATTGTCCATTTTTTTAAGGGCAGGATAATTTTTATCTTCCTTTTGTTTCAGTGCGTTAAGAGGATGGGTCTCCGAGCTCGTGATGTGAGAGAATGCATGAACTCAAATTTAGGGACAGTGTTGCAGCTGGAGGCTGAAAAGGCCACTAATTACATTAGACCGAAGTTCATACCCACCATCACCATAGACGGGGTAAGATATTGGTCGATTGTCGATCCCTGAATTTCTGGTTCGTTTCTCATGTTTCACAAAGTATCATTGGTTTTTACGATTACTCAAAAATTCTTAGTAATCGTTAGAAATCTGCTCCTACGATGCATTCTTAACAATACATTAGTAACAGTTGGAATATTGCTAGGATAATGACACATAATGATTTTTGTTTCAGAGGTTCGACCAACATATACAAAATTCTGCGTTTGCAGACTTCCCCGGGACGATTTGTTCGATACTTGGAGACGTACCACCTTGCGTTGACAACTTCAATAAAGTAGTCCTTCGATACGGTTTAATATAAACAGACAATAAATTAATATTTCGTACATAATTTTATCGTTTTCAGTGATGTTTTTCTTTCCTTCCTTTTTTAAGATTTCTATAAAATAAATACAAAAACGAGAGCATTAAAAGATGTGATGTGCGAGGAAATGTAGATATACCAATACCTAAGTTCTTATTAAGTAGAACCTCCAGCTTGTTGTTGCTGTTTTATTTGAAAAATACATTTTATAACAACATATTTTTTATCAAATGACACAGAAAGATTTCATGGACCATATGAAAGGATTTTGGAAACATTTTTACTTATTTCAAAAAATATTCACTACCTACTCTAATAGATTTGAATATGGACTATAAAAACCTATTTACAGTATTTGATCTATTGCCTTATTTCAAGAAACATGGTTATTACAATTATGCAATTATTTGGTGACTTTCCGGAAAATGTCCAACAAATGTCTTATTTTTTGTATTAGATATTTTAGTAAAAATCTCCTAAATATTTCACCGATACAACACCGCATTTTCGTGACTAGGCGACTGTTACTTTCTGGCTATTTGTGATTTTGGAAAGTGAGGTTATGATGGTGAGTTGTCCACGATCCATCGGTAATAGTGAGCTATGTTCGTGTACACACTGGGAACGCCTTCACTTCCACAGTTCTCTGAACCGAAGGACACGATGCCAACCTGAAATAAATAAAGAAGTTGTTCAAGTACTTGAACTAAGTAACAGTGAATTTCCTAATAACATTTTTTTTATGAAACCTTTATTTGTGATACATACATACGTTGAATCCATTGGATTGAATTCCATTGGATTCGCCATTACATATCACACGCACATTATTTTAATATGTGTTCAGTTCTTTGCAACACTAACTATATTTTTGGAAGTCTGTAACCTGGACCTGTAAGTCAACTAAATTTTAAGTTTCTTATTCAACTGTTTATCAGTAATCAACTGTACCGTAGAAACTGTGTATAGATCAGTAGGCAGTATCAAGTGGTAATTTTTTTGATTATATCCTTATCAAAAACAAAATGTACGCTCACCTGCACATGACGACTTTGTCTGAACAGAAGTAGAGGAGCTCCACCAAAACCTGAACAAGCATCCTTTCCCGCCTCACCTCCAGCACAGAGCTGACCTTCGTTAACTGGGACTGATTCTCCAAATATACGCTCACAGTTTTCTAAAGGTACCAGAGGAACTTCTAGCTGCTGTTGTCTGCTCACCTACAGAATATGGAAAATTTTGGTGATACCTACTTTTAAGAATTTAAGGAACAACTGGTCACACGCTACTACACAAAGACAGACATTTCCGAATACGATTCGTATGGCCTTTCAATTCATTGTTTATGAAGTTTTTAACCTTAAACGACTGTTGATTTTTGAACTCGCACATTGTGTGAGTATTCTCATTAGACCATCTCCAATATTCTCGAAAGATAAATCAGTCAAAAGGGGATTAATGCAAACATTGTGACTGTTAACTTATCAGTCAGACATTTCCAAATGCAAAATAATGATTGACAAACACGTGAAAGAGATTAAAAAAAATACTTCACGTTCGTCAAAACTCAGTACAAAATCACGGACAAGGGCAAAACAATTAGTCTGACATAACATCCTATCATTAGCCTGATGACTGATAGCCATGACTGACGACTGATGGCTATCATACACTCACCACGTTATTCTGTCCTGACAGTTTCCCCCAACCGACAAGCGAAGCTCGTTCATTAATTACTATTTCCGGCTTATCATTCAAACAGATCGGCGCGGCTGTCACTGGAAAGAGCAAAAATGGTCAGTGATATGGGAGACTGAGTGACAGCAGGAAGTGTAAGGCATCAGCCTGTCAGTCAACAAACTGCTGCCAAGGACAAAATGTAATGTTACCTAGAACTTAAATAGCCTTGGGAAAAATGAAGCTGTAAATTATTAACACTTTAACACCAAAAGGAAACTTTAACACCAACATCAAATTATAATAACTATATATAGTGTACGCACCTGAATATTTAATTTCTTCTTTAAGCATGATCAATGCAATATCATGTCTGAATATCTTCTGTTCGTATCCTGGATGGACAATCACATTCTCCACTTTGATGGCTTGTGTAGGAGGAGCGCAGAAATAATCATTACAATCAGGACTTCGACCGATATCCCATTCACCAACCACTACAGTTGATCTGGAACAAATAAATTAGATTAATATTAAATGTCATCAAATTAACCAACATTTTCAGTTAGTTTTTTTTAGGGGCGAATCCTTCATCCATCTTGGTTGAGGCGTGAGGTAGTGTCAGATTCTTACTGACCCAAAATCATCACGTTCCTTCTGTTCTTATTCCATTGCATTGTCTGCAGCTCCAGATCTTTAGTTGGAGCTGTGTTATAAATAATTTTAAGAAGAACATCAACTGGCATTCTGAAGTCTCATGCAGGTTATATAAACTGGATGTTTTAATCCTCAACTGCTGGGACTAATAGAATAATCAACAAACAGTAGATAAGAACTTATCTATGAATAACTATTAACCAGGAAAACGATAGATACAATTTAATATTCTAAACTTTATAATAATTAACTTACAGTTTATATCCTTCTGGCTTGGCCAAAGCGCAATGAGCAGCAGTCAATATAACTCGTTTGCCAATAATGGAACCGCTGCACGCGAATCTCACATTACCAGTCTCCTTGTCTAAATTTAATAAAAATAAATAAATTATTAGAATTATACACCTAATATTAAATTACTAACAATGTATTTCCTTTTTTGTACCATTTCTAGGTAACTTGTAAAGGTTAATTGATCAAAAAACTTAAATGATTAAGTGATTCGGTTATGGGATTATGATTTGTTAGGTTTAGTTTTTTGTAGGCTTCTTTGTGTTGATTAAGGCGGTCAGTCGGTAAGATTTGAATGAAAAGATACAAAAAGTTATTTATGTATTCTTAAAAGTTAACAAGAAATAATCGCCGTACGAAAAAAGATATTATTATAATTAATTTCTTATTCTCATAATTTGGTAATGATTCCCTTCCCAGAAATCGTGAGATTGGGCAAAGTTTGATTCACTTTAGTCTGGTAAATTAAGTTATTATTACGAAAATTAAATATATATTTTCCTTCCACTGGCAAGTAATTGCAATAAAATAAAATAATAGATGATGAATATGAAGAACATATAAACTGGTGAAAAATAAATATTAAGTCGACTGCCAATAGATAAATGTTGCAGATAATTCTTTCACTAGGGATGAACGTAACAGAAAATGTGCATAAGACAAATTGCCTCTCTGCTTAAATATTACCGCTCTGACAAGATTTTCTAAACACATACGTGTAAAACCAATTCTAGCAGTCCACGGTTGACTTCCCAATCCATTGTAGTCGACTCCTCGCACCATACTCTGTCCACATTTCTCCATGCCTTCCTGGTAGACCCTGCCACAGTCACATGAAGGACAGCATACGTAGTCCTCGTCATCCGCATTGCCACATATTAATTGGTTGAGTCGGTGGAAATATCTGAAAAATTACGAAATGATATGGCCTATTCTTTAGGAAGTCTTTTGCGATATATTTAGGTTTCTTGGTTCATTTTTAATTTTACCCTAATATATTTAGTATTCGATCACCGTTCACTATACGTCACTATTCTTATTATCAGCTTTACATCCAATTCATAAAAAGGACTTTTCAAAATGATGATCTGTATGTGCAGTGTTAAAGTTAATCCAGACTCAGTTACGTATATTATTAAAATTATGCTCCAAAACAAACAGTTCTTACCTGTCTGAAGAGAAACACGAAAAGTCCATTAGGTCCTCCAACATAGGACAAGCACTGACAGGCATACATGTTGTGTTTTGTGGGCACGGACTCTGTAGTAACACAAAGAAAAAATATGTTCTATAGGAAATGTCGTAGACTAATATATAAGTAAGTATTATCAAGGCTTTACTTACTCTTATACTTAACGTTTCTTCACCGCTTTTGACTCCTCCCATACCAACACTTAGACCTAAACCTGGAATGAATACAAGACAGTCGTTTGTGTATCTGTTTTTCTTTTTATGTTGCAATGGAGCAATTTATAGCTTTCGTTTTGTGTTTGGTCTGGAAGTAGTTAAGACACAGTATTAGTACAGTAGTACATATTTGACATAGAGAAACCCTAAACAGAGTCAAATTGAGGTACTACAGGAATTCATTCAGTTATTCAAGTTCGTAAAATTACATAGGTTGATAGGTTTTAGCAAGGATACCAATAGTAAAAAAAGTCAAAGCATTTATTTCAATTAAACCATCTAAATAAATAATCGTCTGTCAATCAGTCCGTCAGTGAAGTTATGTGAAGCTAGGTATCAAAAGGTCAAAATCTGCACGTAAATCTTTGCATCAACCTGTACTGCGCATAAATGCTCTCTATCATACATTTTTTTACCTAATTGACGCAATAATGAGTGCTTCATAATGCACTACTGGTAAATAGTAATACATGGGTAATACCATCAACACGGCCTTGATGTAAAATGATGTTATCATTCTGTTTTATACCCTGATCGAGGCTGTCTATTGTCATCAGTCCTGCAATTATCGAATGCATCATTCGAAAATTATACGACAGTGGTAGTGACGGGAAAACTAAAATGGTAAGTCTAATTTTTAGTACTGAGGAGGTTCATTCAATATGCTTGACATTATTATATGTAATTACATTTTTTTGTAATATAAAGCATGGTTAACTTAATATTTCTACCCTAGCAATTGTAGTGTATGTGATATGTGAAACAATATTTAATGTAAAACCTCAATTACCATAAAAGTTTACTTGGAAATAAAAAGAAAAAGAAAGAAAACAGTTATTTGGTAATTTAAGTTGTGATGGTTTTTTCCAGTGTGCATGATCGTGAACAATATTAAATGCACTTCTAGGGCAGAATCCTTCATGAAGATAAACCCTTAGGTGGATTACCTAGTGGTGAGTGAATAACACCCGCAATACCAAAACTATGTTACTACTTTCAACTTAGTAGGGACAACTTCGTCCCTAGCGACGTGCTGTAACAGGCATTGCACCGTGGGGTTCGTTACAGGTGCTGCGGGTAGCCACCGGGGTGGGTTTAGCGAGGTACACACACACACTGCTTAATCTTTCTCCCCAAAAAGCTAGGCAGCTTTTGAAGGTACCCCCGTCATCAAAAAAAGGGACTAACTTCGTCGCCAATTTACTCGATTCAGAAATCGAAATTAACAGTTCTTGCTCAATAATCATATACCAGCTACAATTCATATTGTGTATGTATATTTGTAATAACTAGAATAATGAGGAAAAGCATTGCAAACCTACGTTATGTATTGTGTGAAAATCATAGTTAGACCGTCCCCTATTATTTAGGCACTTTTGTTAGGCGAAATATGAAATCTGTGCTACTGTCGGTAACATTGGCCATCATTTGCCACTTATACTAACCATGAATGTTACTAGACTCAACAATATCAAAATTGTAGTCTTTTTAGAATGTTTATTGCAGTACAACTATTATAAATGAAAAATGTATTAATTCATTTGTTATGTTATTTAAGTATCTACTGTTTTCGAACTCGCAGTAGTAGATGCTCACGCAACTAACTAACAACAAATATCGTATTATGTTACTTTTTTATGGGATAAGTCAGAAAACAGATGAATCACCGAAAGTTAGTAAGCAATCGGTACCGCCCATAGACACCTGAAACACCAAAGGCGTTACAAGCGCGTTACCTATTGGGGACTATGAATTGGAGGATTTGGGGATTCAGGGATTGAAGAGATGGGGAAGGGGGGTAATTAGGCCTTCGGTAACCTCACTCACACAACGAAACACAACGCAAGCGTTGTTTCACGTCGCGGAGAACCTAACGGGTTACCGGGGCAGGAGAAGGAACGGGGTGGTTTTTAGTCAGTAAGAGTCTGACACTCCCTTCCGCCTCACCCAGGCGGGAGAAGTCATTCGATTATTTTCTCCCCTTAAAAAAAAGCGTTATTTCACGTCGTCGGTTTTTTGTGAGGCCGTGGAATCACTTCGGTCGAGCCGGTCCATGCGTACCGAAGCATGGCTCTCCCCCACTTACAATGATTAATAATAACAAGGTACTATTCTGAGCTAAGTATTATAAAATATCTAGAAATATCGAAATGTTTGATATTGTCCCGAATCAGTAGGTACACTCCCTATTACATAGGCATAGTAAGCTGATATAAGTCTCTGTTTGCTCCTAATTCGTGTTATTAATTCAAATTCAATGCAATTACCATAATTTAGAGGTTTTATCGAAATACTTACAAAGAGTATATTTGAAACAATGGTTAGGTATCTAACTCATTGTTACAAATGCGCGTTAGTGCAATTAAAATTAGCATATAAATAAAGGGTTCAAAGGATAATAAACTTGACAAGTTAAAATATATTGCACTTATAAAAACATATCAGATAAAATCATTAAAAAAAATTGAAACATGGACAAGGTTCAAAACATTACTAAAATATTAGTTTGTGTTAAATATTTCAGCTAAACAATATGTATGCGAACTATAAATATATATATTATGTCTTCGCACTTGAAAAATTAGGTACGAATTTGATTTAGACAATCCCTTGTACTTTTAGTCTAGGTACTAGAATTAAATAAAAACTTACTTCCAAACTGTGCATTACACCATTGAAAAACACACAAAATCATAAACACACACACAGAAACCGCCATTGTCATTATACAAATTAAAACTTAAAAATTAAAAGTCAATTTAAAAAAAGACACAACAAATTTTTTCACGATAACACGCCATAAAATTTTTAAATTATTGTTCGAAATATGAATTATTATGATGGTCAGATGTCGTCAGCATCGTTGGATGGACCACAACAAAATTGACACGGTACAGAGAATCTATTTCGACCGGCACGAAACAGAGGTTGTGAATCTTTGGCAGTTAGCCATTGTTCGAAATGATATGTTTAATTTCACAGATTTTTTTCGATACACATGTCATTATTTAATTACTGAACTGTTTATACTTACTTATGTTGTTTCCCACGTAATAATATAATTATTGTTTATATTGGTCAGTATTTTCGACACTGGGTGAGAATGAGAGTTAGTTGTGAACAGGGTATAGTAGTGTTATATACTGTAGTATCAATTGATGGGAACGCATTTTCGCAAACAGGTTGAAGAAATTAACTAGGATAACAAGAATACTGTGCTTCTTTTTGTAGTTAAGTTCTATTTTTTTATTTCTCACATAAAATCACAATTATTATAGTTTCCTAACTTTGGTTATTAATGACAAACATTAAATTCAATGTTTGTTAGTCGGTAAATTATATTGTGTATTACGGATTTACAACAATTCTTGCAGTATCATGGAGTCTGGAAATTATACACCAGGAACAACCTGGTGTATGACAATGCGATCATGGTATTCTGGAGTCTCTGGGATAATTTAAATAAATTATTGAAAAGATAAGTAGGAAAAAACTCTCAATTTATTTATCTAATACTCTCTACCTAGCTTTTTTGAACTCCTCAAAAGACGTAATGTTGTTTTATTTATTATTTGATAAAACTGTATCTATCTAACTTAATTTAGAAAATTAAATAATAGTTGACGACCCATGGACGTGCCATGATTCACCGCTACAAATGTTTGCTTCAGATTGATGCAAGCATTTTTACACCATTCACGGATATTAAACCATCTACTATAAAAAAATATCGTTGTATATTATCATAAATAGATTTGCTACGGCTTTTACGATTACGTAACTATTTTTAAACCTTTTCATTTCTGACATTATTGAATTAATAGAGATGAGTTCTCTAGTACCTATATTATCTATCAGTTTGTAATTAATAGTTGTCCGGTAAATAAATGTACGGGTATTTTTATATTTTGACAGTTATATTTATGGAGTCGGGAGCTGAATAAATAAGACTAATATAACACTAGATTAGTGACATATTATGTTCCAAACAAAATTTATGTACGCTATAGAATCTGTAGAGCATAGGGATATTTCTCATTAGGTATATACTAACAGAGACAAGACTGCCTCGTTGGCTGAGTGGTCGCAAGTGTGACTGCCGGGAATGGGGTTCTCGGTGTATGGCAATAGCCTCACCCCCTATTACATGGAACTTACAACATATGTATATGGTGAAAGTGGATGTTACATTGGACAATGGCTTTCTGTGCTGTACCTAATGTGCAGTTGTGCACGTCTGCCTAACCCTTCGGGAATAAAAGGCGTTATGATGTGATGATGACTAACAGGTACCTATTAGGGAATATGTATACATATCCTTAATTAAAATAACAGTTATTCCCATACGATCTATTAAAATTAAGCCATGATACAATCTACAAAGGTGGAGGCGTACACAGTTCGCAAGTCGCGGCGCGAACGAAGCGTGTCAGCTTAATCTTTGCAAAATCAGTTTTTTATACTTTTATTGTAATACGTTTTTGTGTAGCCCGGTGTCGTTCACATCATTGGTTTACGGACATTGGACTCATAACAATGTCTTCTTTCCCAGAAATAGACGATCAGATTATAACTGGATCTGTTTCTCTGTTGTACTTTTTATGAGACGCCTTCTAGATTAAAGTATTTCATTTGTGTTATTTTCTATGTATTCTGAATTCAATTTCAAATGTTACATTCCGAGATGAAAAAATGGTACCTATTATTGAATTTCATCTATCTAGTACCCTGCTATTTAAACTCGACTGCATTTTCAGACATCATAATATCTTCTATGAAAAATGTAAAGAAAACTAAAGATCATAATGTTATAAGGACCGCAGACACGGACACAGGCATATTTGCCTTATTGACACAACAAGTATAATAAGTAGGTATATCTAGTATTTACAATAATACATAACGTCCATAACACATTATCTACTGCACTTAAAGCCACTGTACAATGTAACTCCCACTTCTCACTATTTGTGTTATTTGTCCCATGTAATAGGGGGTGAACCTATTACCATATACCGGGCACAATTCCAGACTCCGTGCTATTATTGAGAATTAAAAAAAACTGTACCTAATTCTTTGTTGACCCTGGAAACGAATCAATTTACAATAAGTACAAAAAAAAAAGGCTTCAAATCTTCGTAAAGAAATTCCACAAAGAGGCTACCGCATACAATACATTTATTAATATAATAAATAGTACTTCACTAGCCGCCCACTTCTATCCACCGACAACAACGCAGGTCGTAACCCGTTGGTTCACACCGTGTCACCAACATTGTTTGAAGCACGTAAAAAATTACTTCCTAATCAGATAATGGAACGATTTCATACAATTAACCAGCACGAATTTTGGAAATGGCACCACCATTGTGAACTGACCTTTAATGAATGACACTATACTGTTGACCGTATAATTGCTGTTTTGTGACTGGTAGTGTTTTAATAGCTGCATATCCCGGTTAGAATAATAGTATTTTATACAATACAACAAAAAATGGAACCTGAGAAACATGAAACCTTAATATACGAAGTTAATTGTATGGGATAAAGGGACAAACGAGCAACCGGATCATCTGATGGTAAGTGGAGGAGAGCGCCACCCAAGGTTACCCCATCCACTTACTTTACATGAGTACTAAAAATGTTGTTACCTACAATATCGCCTACTAGGCACTGCATGAGGATTGTTAATCACATAAAGATAAATTCAGTGAACATAAACAAGAATAAAAGCAACTTTAACGATAACAAAAAAGAAAATCAATACAAGACCTTACTTTGCAAACTTTATAGACATATTCCACTTTTAACAGAACTTTTCAAAGAAAAAAATGAATAGAACAGATGTCAATTTTGAATTAATGTCATTGTTAACAGAAAAAATGGCATAATAAATAGCAATTCTCGGATAAATTTTTCATGGACTAGGACTAAGCATAATGTTTGTATAGTTAAATTCTTATTATACGAAGTCTGCAGAAGTATCAAATTAGTGGAACATTTTTCAGATGACTACAACATCAGCATAGAAATCGCAGATAAAAGCTCAAAGCTAAAATGACAGACACACGAGATTATCATCATCACCCATCCAGTGTATTTTCAACAGACACTATGAAATTGACCAGTAGCGCCTCTGAACAAAACGTGTACTTTACATACGTGTGTCTTGTCAACGACATCAAGCCAAGTGGAAACCTAACATCTAACTTTAAAACTTGTGACAAGTTATCTGCTGCTGATGTTTCTTCTACGTTAAATGCAGAGGTATAGAGGTCTTCCATACAAGTATCATAATGTAATGTTTGAAGTTATGGACAATTTAGAAAATATAAAAATTATTTTTATTATGTTCAGGTAAATCAAGAAGAGCAAACAATTCAAGTAGAAAGATCAAAAGCACTTCATGAACTATTGAATATTGAATCCTACAAGAAAGCCGATTTAGGTGAAGAAATCGGAGAACGTAACGACGCTGAATCATCCAAAGTATATGTTCACAAGTTTCTATATTATTTCTTAGTGATTTCTGTATTATGTTTTTACATTTCTACAATAAGAGTGACTTTGTACTAGCAACCAACCACATCAGGAGAAGATAGCGAGCTATCTGAGAACGATGAAAATAATTTCCTTCCCTGCGACAACCCCAATGTCTTAAAACTAACGAAAATGAAGTGGCTCTCTGAAGATCAGGAAGATGGCCACAATTCTAGGTTTGTATCTCTAGAAAATATTACGAGTCACAACCGCTTTCATCAATATACACCAGCATCATGTCGTTCCAGAAATGTGAACGCTCTAACAGGTGCAAAATTGCATACAAAACCGAAACGAAGAAATTAATAATATTCGAGGAGGATGAACAGTAGGTACCGTTAATGGCTAAATGTAATACTGAATTGAGATATCGGTAATTATAATTATTCATGTACTCATTACTTGTTGCAAAATTTCATTTTATTTACTTGCATGACCATCTATATCGAGAGAGGCCTTTATAATTCCTCAACATATTAGCATCTCTTACACCAGCGCAATATTCATTGGCAGTAACAATACCGAATATTAACAAAAATCAACATTGACAATGCTTTTCAGTTCACCATCGGTATCACCAGTCTCATCAAGTTCTAACTGCAGTAAAATTTCTGAGGAAGACCTCAAAGAAAGGAACGAGATGGAAGATAAATATTTGTCGACTATACTGCGATTAGACAAAGAACACAATATGTTTGGATTGTCTAACATAGCCATCGTTGGAGCCAAACAATCGAAGATTAAACGTAAAGACGACGAAAAGGCTGTGTTCCATCAAACAGCTATAGTTCAAGTATGCTGTGGTAAAAGTTGCTGCAAGCATAAGGTTTGTCAAAATTCTTAAAATGATATTTAAGTCCACTATAACTTATTATGTAACGTTATAAAACATGGTGATTGGTTTCTTTGTTGCAGAGCAACACCGATTTGCCCGCATCTTTAAAGGTAAACCCTTAAAATAATATTTTTAAAATTTTATATATTTATTTGAACAGCCAGGTGTGGCTACACATTTAACATCAATTTTACTTTTACATAC